GAGGGAGGAGCTAAGTAGCAGCCAAGTCGGAGCGGCGGTATCGCCGATGACAAGGAGCGGACCAGAGGACGTTCAAGTCCTAAGGTCGAGTAGAACGTGCTTCAAGGCGTTGAGCCTGAAGACTTAGGGAAGGGCTAAGTTGATAATTAAACTGAGGAACTACAGTAGCGTACAGGCAGTATTTATATCTACGGATCGGCGCATTGGTGCGGAGCGCCAGACTAACTACTAGGAGCTATACGAGTAGTACCTGCAGGGTATAGTAAAAGACAATAAGGAGAGACTAGAACGAAAGGGTATGTGTAGCGAGAAAGAACAATAAGAGTAAGATTACAATAAGAGTGGATCTTCGGTATACCAAGCGGCGGAATGGAGGCCCGAGGCATGGAGTTGACAGAATGCCGCTGCATTCCCAACTGGGATATTGAACCGGGGGAGATAGCCGTAGGTTAGCTCGAATGGGGACATGCTTAGGTCAGAATGGGTCCATGAGTTAATCACAAACTCCGCCATGGGAAGGTGTTCTGCGCAGTTGTCTTGTTGCCTTCCAACATAAAGGCGGATGTATTTCTGCACTTCCTGAGTGTGCCGAGTCAACGACCGTGCCAGGTTGGTTCGTCTGAGCTCCCATCACAAATGAAGTTCCAAAAGGAGCTCTCTGCAGAGATACTGCCTCTTCATGAACTGCTAACATTCTTTGTTGGTTCGGGCCCCTTTGACTCTCCGCTCCTACTGCCTGAGACTGCATCAATACCAACCCTTGATAGGGTATGAATGATGGATTGCTCAATCCTGGAGGAACGTGTACAGGGTTGGGGACCAACCAAGCTGTCAGATTGTGTCCGGAGATCCGTGATGAATGTTTTGTGCCATCCATCCATACTTCGCCAAACTGATATCGCTGCGTCGGGACTGGTGTTACCAGTTTCATTTGCAGATTAACTCTGGGGGGAGGAGTCGGATAATGGGCCAGGACATGCACAGTGGGGGAGGTCCCTGAGCATAACTGGGGAGTCCTTGTGGCCGTATTACCAGAGTTATTGACTTCAGGAACCTTGTTATTCCTGGGCGATGAATGTTTCTGTGCCATGAAATGACCATCAGAGCTATGGAGCTGCCTTTTCTGGTCAAATTGCTCCAGATGGACCTCCCCTGTACTTTCTGGTTCGCATTGAACCATGTATAAGGTTCCTTGATTATCTGGGACCAGTCTATGATGGAATTCCAAGGCCCTTTCTAGATTGGATCCTGAAAGTGCCTCCGACAGCATCAGAGTATCTGATTCCGCCAGTAAGGTCCGGTGTTGGGTCTCTTGAGAACACAACATTGTTTCAGACTCCTCACCAGAAGCTGGTGCATATGCCTCATGGGCATGTACGTGTACACCGTCTGTCCGTTACGGACCTAGATAGGACTATCCTGATCGGGCATTGATTCCACTGGGGCAAGGAGGTGTGTAGTGGTGTATCTCCTTCATCTATGATTTTTTGCAGCGATTAATTTGACATCCTCGTTGCTTTCTTCATTGATTTTAGCTGCTGCTGCCACTATATTCGCATTTCGAAGTATTTGGATGGCCTGGTAATTCGGAATGTTAACTCTCGAAGGGGGAGGGGGGGGGGGTTGAATTGTATGGCTCCTGATCTGTAGTTAGATGCTCGGTACAATATACATAACCCAGCTTTGCCACAGAACTCCTTCTCTCTTCCGTGGGTATGAGGAAGGAGGGGAAGTATTCCCCTCGAGTTTCTGAACAATCGTCCGTAATGAGCCTCTGCTTCTACCAATTCTAACATCTGCTCCGGGTCCAATAGAATGTTGTATAGCCAAAGGAAGTCTGACCTGTTCGTCGGCGTCATCAGCCATTGTTGAGCCTTCTCTGGGAGGTCTATCTCCAATTGAGTTTCCACTGTTAGGAACTGTACCTGTAGGTCTGAGAATTCAATACCATCTCCCAATGTTTCGATCCCCATTGACTCCAGGACCTCCCATAATACCATAGCTATGTCCTCCGGGATACACTCCTGGATTCTAATGATCTTCCAGTCACAATGTCATCTCCGACGATAGTTGCACAGGGAAGTTGGTCCTACTATGATGTATCGCGTGAGTACGCTCCCAGTTGGGCATATTCACAGCTGGACTCTTAAGGAGACTGGAGAGTGAACTTCCTCATCTCAGAGGGGACTGTATGGGAGGAGTCAGTAACCTCCTGGATGCTGCAGGCGATACCCTCCTCTCCGGAAGTTTCTCCTTTTGTTGTACTGTAAGAGGATCCGCGTTCTCCCCTTGTATTCTTTCTATAGCGGCTACTTGGCCACTGACTCTTCCACCTGCGTTCGAAGCTGATTCCATATCTAGCTGCGGTACCAGTCCAGGGGGAGGTCCTCTTGTTCCCCAGGTAGGGGAATAGGCGAAACCTCCCATCAGACTATTGGTAGGTTGGGCATATCCCATGGAGGTATACCTCTGTTGTGGTGGTTCCATCCCAGGGTCCACTGGAGGAGGTTCCTGAGCCGCAGCTTGACGTCCCTCGGGGTCCTTACGTTGCTAGAGGGTTCATCCCCAAACAACTGTTCTGGGATAGACATCAGGCGTTGACTGGCTACCACCATAATGGCAGTAGAACTGGCAGCCTGGTTTGACTTTTGAGCTTGTGTCGTGTTTCCACAAGATAAGGCGCTCTTTTGTTTTTTCAATTTGAGTTTAGAACTAGAAGGTCGTTCCGTTGACGTTGCAGACATTTTGTCACGACGAGTCCATTCGGTGATGGGAGAGCTTGGTATAATGTAAGACCTGGGTCGGAATTGGTCTTTGGGTAAGTTTTGGTATAAGGAATTTATGTTGTAGTGTGCTAAGAGCAAGCTAGAGCTTGAAGGGAGCTACAGGAATGACCTAGTAGTGGCTGGGATTGAGAGATATGACCCTTGAAGGGGTTCCTAGAAGGTCCAGGGAGGTCTCTAGGACAATAACAGGTGAAGGTGGAGGTAACCAGAACTAGAAGACATAGGAGCATTGCATAGTATGAATTGTACTAGCTAGGAACATCAACGTATGATCGTTGTAGATTGTAGTTGATGTGAGTCTTGAACGTGTGAGCTCCCGATAAGGTGTGAGCCCGGGAAGAAGGTCCCGGGAAGTGGGGGTAGCGGCGGGCATCCTCGAGTGGTGGAGGTAATAATAGAGAAGCGGTACGTAGTTCGACGTTACCTAGATCAAAGTCCCAGAGCTTGTGGAGCAGTTGGGAAATGTTGGCTCACCAAAATGGTAGATGTTGGGGAGCTCGAAGACTCACTCGGATTGCTTAGACGTGAGGTAAAAGCATGTATTGGATCGTTTAGACGGCCATAGAGACGAGATAGTAGTAGAGAAACAGAGAGTAAAGAGAAATCTGTATGGTTAGCAGCTACACAGGGACAGGGACTGGACCTATGCAAAAGGGTGTGGGTTCAAAATATACCAAGCTGGGGCTTGGGGACGTTGCGGAGCTACTTAAATAGGTACAGGAAGTGAACAAGGGAACATCAGGGGATCCGGAAACATGAGGCAGGTAATCGAGATTAGTACTTAATGGGGTTGGTGGTAGGAGGGTTTCTTACGCGTGTCAGGGAAGTTGTCAGGATGTTTGGTTTAATGGGAAGCAGGGGAATGGTGGTACTGTCTTGGGGAGGTACCGGGATGGGTGGGAAGTGTGGGAGCATGTGGCTAGTACTAGGACTGTCCTGGTTGTAGCCAGGGCATGACATTGTGTCCATTGTGAGGTAAGTGGGGATGAAAGTATAGTAGGGAAATGCCTGGTTGTCAAGACCATGCCTCGGTGCCTCACTCCAGCACTCAGTACTCCAAGATCTACCATTTATTGTAATCTCTCCTTATTGTCTTATTCTCTACACTGAAGGCACCATATATATAGCCCCTAGTAGCTAGTCTGGCGCTCTGCCCCGATATGCCAATTAGTAGGTATAAATACTCCTGTACTATACTATAGTTCCTCAGTTTAATTATTGTCTTAGATCACCTCAGATCGTCACTCTTTATTCTCTGGAGTCTTAAGGCTTAACCCTTGAGTTCTCTCTACTACAACCTCAGGACTTATAGTTCCTTGGTCTGCTCCTCATTGTTGGTGTCATTGCCATTACTGACTTGGCTGCTATTCATACCTCTCTCCTGCTCTCTCCTCTGGGGACTAGCGGCATAATGGCAGTGTTGTTAATAACTTCACCACTGTCCCATTCAACCCTCCACTGGTAGAAGCTACCGGGTCTGAAGTATATTGGAGTGCATAGGAGGATGCAAGCTATTCTTGTGCCATTTTCTCTGCACACTCTGCCTCTTCTCTGAGTGCTTCAATGGGTAATATCCAGCTGAAAGAAACTAGTCACACACATATACTTAATGGGACAAAAATCTTTTCACCATAATTGTCCATGTGGGTTTAATACTTCCCATCTTAGAATAGCACTGAGCATACCTGGGTTTCTTATGAGCATCCGCATGCCTTTGCTTGTGCTAGACAGATTCATAATATCTGAAAGTTGTAATAGTGTGCAAATTTTTAGAAAGACATCTTGAGGCAAGTTATGCAAATGTGTTGGGACTCCAGCTCCCTTCCATGTTGTAAAAGGGATAAAAGTAGTTGAAGCAGATGGCCATCTACAGTGAGCTGTGATTTAGACCAGAAATGCTTGAACAGAAACATTGCATAACTTACAGGTCAGGCCGCATGCATATCCATGCCTTAAAGTCCCTAATAAGATAAGGAACAAGCTCTTTGCCTTGTAATCCTTGGGAGATCGCAAGCCCAGTCCAATGGGAACCTTTTTGTGTCCCAAAGAATGTGTCTTAAAATCCGCATTCTGATGTTTCAATCCCATCATAACATGCAATTGCAGGCCACTGCACCACCGTGCATGGCAAAAACTTGGCTCCTTCCTTGAGGGTTATTAAATATTATGGAATCAAAAAAACGGCGCGCCTTTCAGGCGCCGACATTGAATGTTTTTTGAGAAAAGCTAAATAAAAGCAAATTTACGTAAATTATTTATGGAGTAATCAAGTGGAGGCGAGAAGAAATAATCGTGACAAGCGTTAGAACCCGTGCCTACGCCACGGTGGCTCGCAAAGCTTGCACCGCTCAGACTGGAGTAAATTCCATCATATCTGTTTCTCCAGCTTTATACAACTTCTCGAATCGGAGGCTGCTCTTGTCACTGGTTCACAAGGGACAGTCAATGTATATGACATATAGTCCACAACTGTGCATGCAATACTCACCCTAGTTCAATATATTCTGATAGTGTCCGTGCCTTAGCATCCATCAATGCCAACATTGTGATATCAACTTTATATTTTCTGATGCAGCCCACACCATAGTTTGGTAGGAGTGGCTCAGGTGCTACGTCAAGCTGAAGACTTTGTTGAGTAGCAGTGTCCCCATCCAATGGAATTTTGGGTTCAGATTGATTCGGAATGCGGACAGCCTTGCGGAGAACGGTGTCATCTGGTTGAAATCTATGTCAGGACATCGTATTCACTATGCGATCAGGCAGATAGTACGAACGGATGATAACTCGGCTGCCTGGTTTCATAGCCTTTCGTACATTCTTCAGGATGAGTACACATCCCGTATCAGGCCAATCATGTCTGGTAAATACTTTCGATGTGTATTGCCTATTAAGAAATATCCAAACCAATCTGAGACTCACAGGACAGAACAAAGCTAGGATCATTTAACACTCCATAGGTTATCTGAGATATCTATGAATATTTAGTGAATTGGACCTACATAGTAGAAATCACATCCTTGAACAGCAGTATCCTTGAAAAAATCAAAAGGAACAAGCTGTACCCGAATCTGTATTGCTTCTGGATATTCTTCTTCCCAGAACTGAATCAGTTGTCAATCCATTCACCAATAAAGATTGAATAAGCATTGAAAAATTCCGTGATTTCACCTACTTGTTATACAGTGAGATACATACCTTGCGAGCCATGTCAATGATTTGTGGTTGATCTTGAAGCACCAGTTTAAAATGAGGATGTGCCTTCATAAGATCCAGAATAATATCCCCATAGCCTCCTCCAACATCGCATATTGTGATGTCTGGCGGCTGAGATGTCCATGGATAGGCTGTCATTGATACAAACATTTAGGATGTCCCAGATGGTGTTAACATAGAGAACAGGTTACCTTTAACCATGAGACTTTTTCCACTAACATCATTATAGCCAGGCATGCCTTTTGCAAAGCGCTGTAAAAATTGGTGAAATGCTACATTCAGATCACATAAAACTTGAGATCAGAGCAATAATTACATTGCCTTTCCTGAGCCCTTGTGGCTAAAAATGTTTGTTTCAAAGTGCTCTAGTGCACATGATATAGATGAGATATAACATACCATTTGGTGATATTCAAAGAAAGAATATCCCGTAGCACGCCTGAATGCAATCCCTTCATCCATCTCGGAAGGATCAGTCAGGGTTTCATTAAGGTATGCAGAACTTTTAAGACATTCATCTGAGCTGCAAGGGACATAAGTCAGTCACTGGTCAGCAGCTTCCTCATTGATTGAACATTGAACACCTGAAAATGGGAAACAACATACAACATGCACACAAGAGATGACACTGGGTCTGATGATAAAAGTTTCATACTCAGTCGATTATTGGCAAAAACCCCAGGAGTGACTTTAAATGTTTGGTTCAGCATATTGGGCAGTAAGTACTACTTGAAATTGTCAAAGGACAGTCCTCACCTTCTTTGAAACAGTGGTTTGTTGCCAGAAAGCGCAAGATACGTGTTAATTTCATTGCATCAAGGCCTGTGTATGAGGCTAATTCTGATGCTGGTAGCCCTCCTGGTTTGTCGAGTAAAAAGTCTGCAATTTTAGCCTCAGTTACAACAAGCAAGCAGGCAGGTTCATTGTGCTAGGCAAGAATAGCTTCAATGAGTAGCTATATCAGGAGAAAACTGTGCCCAGTCCATGCATACCTCCAATGATTTCTGCATTCAAATTTGAATCTCAAAAGTGAATCATAGAGCCAATTATCCCTGTGACACGCACATTGATCATGATGGAGCCCGGAGGAGCAATGCTAGAGCAAAGTTGTGCACAGGCTGCTTCGATGATCTGAATAGCTCTAGTCATTCGCCCAGGTGTGTCTTTGAGGTGCTGGAAAGGACCTGGTTCGAGTGTGTCGAGAGATGGTACGGCGTGTCCGACTGCAGCGTATTCGATGATAACATCGTTGACGGCGTTGTTGATTAGATCAGTGAGAGCTGTGATATGGGTGTTGTCAAAGGCTCTCGTGTTCGTCAACATAGCGCAGTAGGTATCAAGTGGGAGGGTGTGTGTGGTGGTGAGAGATCCTTTCACAAGGTCCGGAATCTGTATCTATATATCTATCTGTTTGTCTAAGTATATTTACTGCCCGATATAGATTAGTCACGGGTCTGAGATAAATATGCAATCCATTCCTGCGGGAATAGAATGACTCCCATGACAAGAAGGGTATTGGTTTTTTCTGATACTCTTCAATTCCCTAATGGTAGTCTCACTCCAGTCCTCGATGCACAAGGATTCACTTTATAATTGTGGATGAAAAGATAGTAGATGATTAGCGGATGCAGAGAGCAAAGAAGTGGGAAGAAAGCAAGAAGCAAGGGGTGGAAGCTTAGCTTATAATTAGTAAATACATCGACATGTGAACGAAGCGCAACTTATCCACAGATGTGACTATATATACTTCCTCCACTGGCAGGTGTAGTCCCAGGGCGAAACAGTCGGTTTTAATGGTCCAGCTTCAGTAAGCTGAACCCGCAATTGGTGGGCATTTTCTACTATGCTCCCAACTGTCCGACTCAACAACTTGATCAGTCCCTTAAAAAAAGGTGATGCAAAACGATGATGTTGCAACTTGCGAGTAGAGGCTTGAGCTATGTTTTCGAGTCCGTCGTTAATCATTGTCGTCGCCAGGATCAGCCATCAATTACCCTCTTCGATGATGAGATAACCATTGAGGAGACTGGACTGTGAGCTTGAGAGGGGGGGGGGGGGGGGGGGTCAGGTAGTGCTGTTGCTTAAAGAATGCATCTGTTGGGGGCGCAATTGTACAATTCGAAATTAAGTCGGCACTGTGACAACCAAGACACTACAAACCACTACAGCTCTGCTAGTTAATCTAGGATTCGAGGACCAAGATGAGACGCCCCAACGAAGAGGCAGAAATCCATCAAATAAAACTGTTCTTCTGTATCGGGGCAAGGATGGCATTTGATGCTTGGGGGGGGAAGAATGATCACAGAAAAAGGGGACCATGTGTACCTATCGAGACGCCGCAGGCTAGCAGTAACTCTCCACTGGTTCCAGTATTTCTTTCAGCTCTCTGTACGACCCTTCAGGTCGTTGTTGTTCTTGGTATTTGAAGTCATGGACAGCTGGAGCCTGGACAGAGAATGTTTATGTGATGGGAGTCAACCAGCGTTTGATAGGGCGCTAAAAGATGTGTTTTTTCATCTCACTCTCCATCGTATCACCTACACCTAATCAACCTCTTACCTCACTCAGCCTTCCTAGCTCAAACTCGTTATCTCGTGTTCCGCGTTCTAGTACACCTGCCAGCATTTGCGTCTCGATGTGATCCCCTCCACGCTCCAACCTGTGGGAGTCCGTGGAAGTTGAAAGTCAGAAGTCCTGGTCAGGGTTAGTGCTTTGTACACTCTTTACAGCGGGAAGGTCTACACCTGTGAGAATGAACCAGGTATAAAGTTCACAACCTCTCACAACCCACCAGTGACAGCGGACTCTTTGTGGTTCTCTGTGGTTCTACTTTGCACCCAGGTGACCTACTCTGTGCTACATATTCATTCGCTTGAAGCTTTCTTTGGGTTAAACGACGAGCAGACTCTGGGCAGACTAACGTGATGATACACCTACACAGTCGCAATGGATTGTTATCATGGCCACACTGTCAACTCCATCCATACTACCCATATTCAAATATTGTTGGATAGTAAGAAACCGAACAACGGATCCGTCCCGGAACCTCTAGGGAAACGAAATCTACATAAAGAAGGGATCTTCTAGTCCCCACAGTCTACCCCACTCTTGTCCAACTCTCCCATCGCTGTACTCTCCTTTACTCCACCCACCATGTCCTCGCCCAAAACATGCAGCACCTCGCCCGTAATAGACGAGTCGAAATTTGGAGTGTTAAGTTGGTCACAGAATGTGTGGATGAATATCAAGTTGAGATTGGGCACGCGTGAGTTTTCACATTCTCTTCATATTGTTTACTCTCACCTGATATCCCTCGCCTCTACAGCACTAATAATCGCACTCGAACTCCTCCTCTCCCCCTTCGTCGCTCGGAGCAAACACAAACCCTACCCGCGTATCATCGGCGACGCCTCCTTCCGCTTTCTCGCAGACTACTTCTCCGGCCCAGAGCTGCAACGGATTCTCGGTTCCTCTGTGGATGTATACTCGACCTGGGCAAGGAATGCGAATCTTCCGATAAATATAGAGGAGATGGAGGATGGCGGGAAGCTTATGTGGATTGGACCCAAAAGAACCGATGAGATGTTGCTTTATTGTCACGGTGCGTTTCTTTCTGGTGTTATTCTTGTCGTCGTCGAATGATGGGTGTTATATAGGAGGAGCATATATCTTTGCTGTTCAAATATTCACGATTTCGTTCTGGAGATATATCCAGGTTGAACTCGAGAAGAGAGGGTTGAATGTCGGGATCGCGATTATGTCTTATTGTATGTGTTTTCACTTTTACTTGTTTACTTATCACCAATTTCTGATGGGCTTCTCCAATTTACATAGCTCTCGTCCCTGTCAGCCAATTCCCAACTCCGTTGTGGCAAACTAGCCGTGCGATAAATCATCTCCTCACTGTCGAAAACGTCAAACCCTCGAATCTCGTATTAGTAGGAGACTCCGCTGGAGGCAACCTCGTCTCGCAAGTCCTCTCCTCAATGCTTCACCCATTATTCTCCCCACCAATCATACCTAGCGGAACACGTCTCCGGGGAGCATATATGATGTCTCCATGGATATCCCTGACTGGCGTTTATGACAACCACCCCCTTCCCTCGTTCACTGAAAACGACCACTGCGACGTAATCGGTAAAGAATCCCTCCTCACCTGGGGTCGAACCGTCCTCTCAGGTGCCCCGAACCCATTCACCACCGACTTTCCCTACCTCGAACCAATCAATGCCCCAGCAGACTGGTACGCCCACCTCCCGGACATCGTTGACCGCGTATTCGTATCTACAGGTGGAGCCGAATGTCTTCGAGATGCCGATGAGATTTTTTTTAGAGAGAAGATTAAGCCGTACCATGAGAAGTGCGAGTACTATGAGATGGAGGGAGGGGTGCATAATGATCCATTTTTTGATTTTCAAGTTGCAGAGGGTCCGTTGGGAGGGAAGAGGCAGGGGTTGACGCCGAGGGTTTTGCAGTGGGTCTGGGGGTGCTTTGAGGAGGGTAAGTGAGTTGATAGTATCATGTAATTATTTGGGATTTGTGTATACGTATATGGACTTCTCAAGTTATCTCTATTTACATGTATGATGCCTCAAAAGCCTTCCACAAGCTTACCATCACTATCATCCGTTCCTCCCTACCCCTTTCAACTGACTCTTCCATTTCTGTAGTGTAAATCATCGGAAATCTCGGGTCCAAAGCGACGAATGAAGAGATAGTGCTCAGGGTTTCGATCTGGAGCGCCATCAGTCACGCTACAACACATGCAAGTGGATGGACGAAGGTTCAACGTTCAATGTTATACTATTTGCGGTAAGCAGTCAAATTAGCTGTGTATCCTCCCACATGCAAGTGCCACTAGTGCTCGACGTCCTCCCTCTTGTGATATTGAATTCAAGTTGCTCAACACGCGATGGAAGGCTGATTGTGAGGGATGGATCAAGCTAGTCAAGTTCAGCGGATTTCTTCTACAACGCATCTTCGCGAGGAACCTCCGAATCGGATACGCATCGAACAACTTTGCATGTCTTACGTTTCACCCAGGCTGAAAAAAACTCCTTTTTCGGTTTGACTATCGCTTTCAAAGGGAGTTATATAGATGAAGCCATGAAGAGAATCGTTGAAGGTCCTCCAAGCTGCCCTTCTCCGCTTCCGACCAACAGCAAGGTAACAACTTGAAATGTCGTCTTCAGCGCCTTCTCACCATACGCTTACACTCCCCAAAATCGACGAGACCCAATATGCACTATTGACTCGGTCACAGTATCTCTGGATGAAACTCAAGTTCCTATTTCTACGTGAGTTTAAGTCCCATCCATCTGACAAAAAGATGTTTATGTGTCCAGCTTTCATCATCACAACCGAACTCCTCATCTCCCCATTCGTCGCCCGAAGCAAAAACAAAGCTCTCAAACGTGTCATCGGCGACGCGCCATTCCGGTTCCTCATCCAAAACTTTGCCCAAGCGGAGCTCCAACATCTTTTCGGGACGGACGTTGGTGTTTATTCAACTTGGGCGAGAAAGGCGAATTTACCGGTTGTGATAGACGAGTTGGATGATGGGGCGAAGCTTATGTGGATTGGACCGAAGAGGAATGAGAAGGTGATACTTTATTGCCACGGTGAGGTTTAACTCGTATATATAATTACCAAGACCGGGTCAGTTGAATTAATTACTAACATGTCTGGTATCTCGGTAGGAGGAGGGTATCACCTTCCTGTTCAGGCTTACGCTATTTCGTTCTGGAGATACATACAGGTGCAGCTAGAAAAGAGAGGCGTAGAAGTGGGTATTGCGATTGTGGTATACTGTGAGTCCTCGATCCTTCAGACCTACTTAGCACCTAGTACGAGTTCAACTGATACTCAAATCATTCCAGCCCTAATCCCAACCAGCCACTTCCCAACCCCCCTCTGGCAAACCACTCGAGCTCTTGAACATCTCTTTTCCGTTGAAAACGTCAAACCCTCGAACCTCGTACTCGTCGGAGACTCCGCCGGAGGAAACCTCGTCGCGCAAGTCCTCTCCTCGATCCTTCACCCACCCCATTACGACGTCAATGTTAATGTTGGCACCACCACTACACACATCTCAAAATCAAAAGCACCTAGGGAGCCACCTCATCTCAATACTGCTGATACTGCTGACATCCACATTCGAATTCGAGGAGCATACATGATGTCACCCTGGGTAGGACTAACAGGCGTCTACCCCCTCGGAACCACAGAATTTCTCCCTTCCTTCACCGAGAACAACAACCTCGACATCCTCACCCAGGAATTCTTGATTTTCTGGGGAACCAACGTCTTGAACGGCGCACCGCACGGATCTCTGGACATAGATACGATCCCGTACCTCGACCCACTGCACGCCCCAGATGACTGGTATCAAGGTCTTCAATCGGTCGTTGAAAGGGTGTTGGTGTCAACAGGGAGTAAAGAATGCCTGCGTGATGCGGATCGGGTGTTTTTCGAACAGAGGATCAAGCCGTATCATGGGGAAGCGGAGTTTTGGGAGCAGGAGGGAGGGGTGCATATTGATCCGTGTTTGGATTTTCAGGTAGGGGATGAGCCTTTGCGGGGCGCTTTGACACCGAGAATTTTGGAATGGGTTTGGGAATGTTTTAGTGGGGGTCGTTAATTTTAATGGTCGAAGTATATAGTATGTAAAGAAATCAAGGCATTGACTACTAGTACGCGTTTATATGCGCAGGAAACCTTGAATCGAGGCAGATATCCCTTCAGCCTTCCTCATCGAGTACATTACTCATATTTTCTCTCATTATTTCGTCGGCTTTAGATTTCCAGTCAATGAATGCATTTTAGTACCACTATATGAACTCTCACACCGATAGTACTTACATATGAAATAAACAAATCCTCATCATCCAATTCATTTTTTCTTTCCGGTTCCCATCCATGCTCCCGCAGGATTTTGTCCCAGGGCGATACTACGACATCCACTGGTAGTGATGCTATCGGTGCTGTATTTTCCTTTTTGAGGTGGTGTTCAACCACAAAGTCATGTATCATTGGATTGACTCTGAAGAATAAGACTCCTGTAGTTCAAATTGAACTGTCAATGTGACATACTACTCACACATTCCCATGATCAAAACATAGATAATGAGGAGCATTAGGAATTGTCTCCATAGAGACATTTACTCCTTCATCTTGAAGAGATTTCATGAACCTTTCGGTATAGCTTTGGTCATAAACAACGCTGTTTCCCCCATGAACAAGCTTGACTGGGCAGGTGATCCGCGAAAGTGCTTCCCGTGGCTGTGGTTTCCGGGTACAAAAAAAGTCATAAGAGATCAAGCGATATTCCCGTAAATGTTCAGGGGACCAATTTTTTACATTTATGGGAAAGCTCAAGTCCCATAACCTGTGGAATTCAGTTGTAGATTTGCTCGAATTGATGTAGAAGAAATTTATACTTACGCTTGGACAATATTTGATGTCTTGTTGCTGAATGTATATTGACTATAACCCAAGGCCACATCAAGATATGCTCCAGTGATGTACAGGTCATATAATTCTGTTCTTCCCTCTTGAACCTCCGGTATCTATGTAAGCTAAATTAGGCAGATAGTTGCATGAATAGAATAACAACTCAGGTATACTTCTTCCAGACAGATGTGGGACATGATAAACAATGATAAAACTTGTTCAGGCAGCATCACTGCTATTTGAAGTGCAATTGTGCTTCCCATGTCAAGGGCTACAAAATGACAAGGGGGAAGTTGCAGTGCAGTCTGATCAGGGGGGGGGTCATGATTTGAAGGTAAGGTTTTGAATTTAAATCATAAGATTTGACAACTTGGTGCTTACTATGAATGCTATTATGTCCTCTGCTGCCTCCGCTTGACCATATCTCTCAGGAATTGTATCACTTTCTGTGTAGCCATGCCATCTCATGTCAAAAGTAACCAAGTTGAACTTTCGCAGAATCGGGTCCGAGAATTGAGCTTCATAAATGGAACGATTTCGGGGTTCGTGAGAAGAATACTTTGAATATTTATTGCATACTTACAATGGAATATTGTGTGGAAAGCAAAGGCATGGAAGAACAAAATAACGGGAAGTCCAGGGTTGATTGCTTCTGCTTCAGCACAAGCTGGAGTGCTGATTGTGTAGTGAAACCGAGTATTCCCTGTGGAAGTTGAGACTTTGATGAATGGCATCCCTAGGAGAGAAAAATTGTTGGGGGGGAAATGGAATCTCAGCATTTATGTAGAGTCCCTTACATGATGTGCTGTAACGACTCCAGTCCAAAAGATGGTATCATTCTTGTTGCATGCGAGATCAATGTGTGGAAGCTGTGAAGAATGACATAAACCTGGATTACAGACAACTTGAATGCCAACTTCGAAAATGCATGGTGCTCATGGGAGAATTACTACAAAGGAAGGTTCCATGTGCAGAAGTTTAAAGATCCTTGTGTGGTAACTGTGTGTCCATCATCCCTTCCATGGAAATCAGAATCAAATAGACGACTTTGACATATCTCTGCACTACCATCCTCCCTACCTCTTCATAACACGTCCTGAAGGACAGTGCACATAATAACGAGTTCGAGAAACACAAGGAGCAAAGTACTGTAGAGCAAACGAATTTCAGACTCGCCAACTGACCTTGAACGGCTGCATGCTGTGACTCGGTGTGTATCCATCAGATACCCGCGCGTCTCGCACTTGACTACAGACCCGCATTGTCCCAAACTCTCTATCTGGCCTACCATCATACCTTCCTCCCCACTATTCCTTTTTATCGTGTCCACAACCGTCAGAAGTTCCATGTAAAACGCTTTACCACAATCGCTCCGGTGAGATAGCGGAGTGTGAATATTTGAATTGAACGCGTGAACGTCTGAACATCCATAGCGAAGTAAACTAGGAAAGACTAGGATAGAATCGATTCAGATACCGTAGAGTTGTGCCTAACTTATCCTCCGAAGTCTGTATGCACCGCCAGATTACTTGGTATCAAGGGCTGCTTAAGCTTGTTGAAAGTATTGGTGTGCAATCCTGGAGGGCGGAATGCTTGCGCAGCGCGGAGTGAATAGTTCTTTTGAGGAGCACTGTTTTAGGGCCTGGCGTTGGCACGTTCATGAGTCTTTCTTGGATTTTCAATCCTTGGATTAGTCACCATCAAAGTCGAAGATCTAGCCCTAACCCTATCTATCTCATCCTTCAACCTCGTCGCCGCAGTTCCGATATCAATGCTTGGAGTGCGCTCAGGAGACACAATTATCTGTTATCTTTTGACGAAAGAGGAGGAAAAGAAGAGATGAAGTTGACAGCACTAAATGCACGTCCACAATTTGTTTCGTTTGACCTGATTTACTAATACTTTCTCTAATAGCAGGTCATCGACGGGTTCTAAATCACCCAGATCTTACATAGTATTGTTAGAGCCTGCTGTTTTTATATATGCGGAATCCATATTAATTGCAATCTCCAACAGTCTCCAACCAAAAAAACAGAATTCATTGAGGACATAATGTTAACCATTGATCAAGACGGAAAAGATCTAAGAAAGAGCATGCACATCACCTCCTCATCGCACTTACCTCTCGGGCCAAACTCTCGGCCTTCAACAGATCTCCTTACTTCCCGATCTTCCCTCCTGACGATCCTTGCGCTTGATAGGCTGGCTCAAAAGTAGAAGTTTGTGATCGTTGTGTATAGTGGTGACACACTGTGGATGGGTGGTCTTCATTCATTTCGTTTGTACGAGCCACTCCACCTGCTCTCAGAGGTTTTTTATTGATAAGCAAATTTATGTTATAGGCTTTCTACGGTTATGACTGCCTCATTTTTTTACAATGCGAAGCCACGGCTGGTATACTATATAGGATATACTCTGCTCTGGCTTCTCCGAAGTTCGAAGCTTTCCGTCGTTTATGTTACGTCGCGATCCCCGTGTTTTCCGTTCCGCTGTGTATATTTTCCGCTTTGGAGATGTGTTGGCTGTGCAATGTCTAACATCGGATGCTTTATTTAGGTGCTTGTATGCTTGGTGCAATGCTATATCCGTTGAGCATCCAGTTGTGACGACTCCACCGAGTCCACCCGGACTCCACCCTACTTCTCACTAGACGGACACGGGATCCGGGCGTCTCGGATTGTACATATACGAAGGATCATGATCAGAAATCTATCAGTTAGTACGAGAAAGCGGGCAGGAGTGAGCATGTCTCGACAACTTGAGTGTACTCCATGGACACAAAGGAAGACCGTTCAGGCAGATGAAATGCAGCTTATCCATGTTCGTCGGTCTCCATTCGCGCACTGATGCCCAGCTGATAACGTGAAATTAATGGAATGAATGGAGGTAGATCTTTTCATTACCGATGTTGGCCTATACATTCATTCTCCTTTATCAAAGTTTCGCTTTTCAGTTACAGAACTTGAAACTGATTCTTTGTGGGAGCTAAGAAGACGGCTGAAGATGGACAAGAATGTTTGAAGGTAGGTGTCTCTTTTGTCGCATTGCGTAGGTAACTACTTCTACCAATGTCTTCGGGCGTTTCTTAGTTTGCATCGTCAACCGCGGAAAGCCGCACTCCATGCTCAGCGCCTCGAAATTCCTGGAGCCTGGGTTCAATTCCGTGTACAAAAGCTAAAGACATTGCGCCACCAAATGTACATACATGAAACAATTTGGCAGTGAAAGTGATGTTATCGTTCGAGATGAGTATGTCAGATTATGTTCAGCATGCCTTGTATTCTGACTAGTGCAAAACTCTGGTATTTCGGGATTTCAATATGAGTAAAAATCAGTGTATAATTCTCAGTTCTGTCCAACGTTTTCTCGATCGCACTAATCCCCTTTCGATGGATGCTGGAACACTACTTACTCTAATCAGGTCTAATCTCACAGGCATACACAGGTTCATCCATTTCATGGTCCTTGTCAAATGAGTTGATATTGCTCTGGCTCTGTGCATTCCGACCTTGTCGAGGTTTGTGAGGGTCTGTGTCCAATTGATAGGAAGTTCATGGCACATGTAGAAGAACAGTTGAGTATTTCGCTTGGAATACCATGCGAGCTTTCCTCCGTCCTTTCAGGAAGACTGAACTGTGCGCTAAAAGTACGACTCCAGGGTAATTGCAATGGCCCTTGCTTTGAAAACATGTAGGAAAAAACACCCGAATCCCAAAAACTGGACGGGCCGGACATTCAAGGAAATCGAAATTTGTAAAGTTCAACGATCGGCTTCTACTTATGAGGAACGCTGTTCCAAATCATGTTCCTCTTTCGATAAGTAGAATCGATGAGTAGAATTTCCGGTGAACGGCCACTCTCGGCCACTGCGCAATTTTCATTTTATGTAATCTCGTTTACTTATTGAACCCCCATTTCGAGGGCGCTCCACCGTCAAGATCCATCAAGGGCCTTTTATGATACACAATCTGCGCTCATGGCAGTGTATATCATCCAGGGGTAAACGGTCAAGAGCGATACATAAAAGGGCTATGACAATCTCCAGCCTCGGTTGTCTTACAACTTTCTTCGCATTATCTGCTTGCTCAAACTTTCAGGATGGAGTATTTACTGCAGATCGTCGCTCTTCTCGTCTTGATATCTTGGTGGATCATCTCCAACTCACGATCCAAGTCTCGCCTACCTACTCAGTTCGCAAATCTCAAGCCTATCCCAGGACCGAAAGGTCTCCCGTTCATTGGCAATGCTCTCGCAATGCCCCGAGTTCAGGAGTGGAAAGTTTTCAAGGAGTGGTCTCACATTTATGGTACGCAGTCTCCATCTTCAAAACCTCAACCTCACCGCCTGATCAACTTATGAATGCATCTTTTAGGGAACATCTTCAAAGTTTCTGTTTTCGGAAGAACGATCATTGTGGTGAACTCATTCGATATCGCGATCGAATTAACGGAGAAACGAGGGGCGATCTACTCATCGCGTCCTCGTTTGGTGAGTACAGCAGTAATGGCGCTACTTCCTAAATACTGATGATCTGTCTTCTTCTCTGAATAGATCATGGCAGGCAAATTGTAAGTAAGAGCCACTACCCACTATCTCCAACCCGTCCGAACAATTTGGAATGAAAAAACATTTTTAACTAATCAAGTTGATCACAGGATGGGTTTCAACGCGACGTATCCCCTTATGCCTTACAATGATGGACTACGGGCTGCCAGGAGACTGGCGCATCACACACTCAGTCCTCGACCAGTAAAATCAATGCTGCATGTACCAGAGGAGGAAGGAGGTCGATGGCTCCGTCGTCTTCTCAACAATCCCAAAGATTGGAAACAGTCTGTTGCCGAGTCTGTCTGTTCAAATTCACCCTTTCGCTCTCCTGTCTGATTGGTAGAAACGAACGTTCTTAGAGTAAATGGTGCCGTGACAACCAAGATCGTATATGGATACCAGGCAGGTGGCGAAAAGGACCCTATGGTCAAGGCTTTTGAGGTTGCTTTACACGCGTTCTCATTAGCCATTGCCCCGGGGGCACATCTCGTTGACTTTTTCCCTTCCTGTTCGTCCATCTGTTTAATACTCCTCACCTCCTGCTAACATATTGGCCCCGTATAGTACAGAAGGTTCCATCCTGGTTATTCAGATTCGGATTCCGAGAGCTTGCAGACCATGGTAAAGATGCGTTGATGTACTCTGTGGACGCTAGTTGGACTTTTGTGCATAATCAGATCGTAAGTCGGTTTACTTTGAGCATGAATCGTTCGGTCACTCAGAAGCCTTACTTTACTAGGCTGCCGGAGTTGCTCGTCCATCGATGGCTTTGGATTCGCTCAATTTGATCCAAAAGGAGAGAAACCAGAAGGCATCGGCTGATATGGATGAAGTTGCGAAATGGACCGCGGCTGCTACGGCGGGTGCCGGTGCACATACAGTACGTGCTCCGTCGCTGGGCGTTTGACCCATGATAATGATTTCCTGTATAGCCTGTATCTGCGCTCATGTTCTGGGTTCTCGCTATGGTTGCCCATCCTCAGTATGTTGTCCCGTTGTTAATAAGATTTAATCTCTCTGACTTCTCCCGGTGATGGTAGCGTACAGATAAAAGCACAAGAAGAATTAGATCGCGTTGTTGGCAGGGACCGTCTTCCAAACCTTTCAGACAGGCCGAACCTTCCATACATCGAGGCCATACTCAAAGAAGTACTGCGCTGGCATCCCGTTACTCCCTGTGGTTTGTCTGCAGCTTATTGCATTCCTTCTTCTAAGCATAAAACCATTCCTTCTTAATAGGTGTTCCCCATACATCTTCAGAAGACGATGAATACGAAGGAATGTTCATTCCAAAGGGAACGTCAATCATTCTTAATCAATGGGCGATGCTGCACGATCCTGCGTATTTCTCTGAACCAGAGAAGTTCCTTCCTGAAAGGTTCCTCGGTGACTCCCCTGCCGATCAAGTACGCGCGGGGAATCCATATGCTATCGCTTTCGGGTTTGGAAGGAGGTGTGATATTTGAATCTTCGAACGAATTGCACAAATTCATGAGTTGGATCTATTTAGGATATGCCCGGGCCTTCATTTGGGCTCGGTCATGATGTACTGTTTCATTTCCAAAGCGTTGTCGACTTTCGATATCAAGCGGCCTATCTGTGCCGAGACTGGGAAGGAGTTCGATCCTCCTGTGGATGCGGCACCCGGAAATGTTAGGTGATTGTTTATTCTAATTTCGGTTATCCGACGTCCTTTGCTGATGATTATCTATGTTGTACATAGCTTCCCTGTAGAGTTCGACTGTCGTTTCGTAGCCAGAGATCAGAAGGCTATCGATTTGATCAATCGCGACACAGAACAGCTTGTTGCTGGCGAGGGAATGCCTTCCGGGTTTGAAGTCCCACCAGAATCCCATTCAATGGCGCATCATTGGTGAAATTGTAAGAGAGTTGGCAGTACATATGCATAGATTATATTGTAAGGTCTGTATGATTTTCTTGATTTGGAACCGTAAAAACTTCCAAAGTGCAACCCTCGTTAATTTAGTTCGCATTGATAATTGTGTATTCCTTATAAAGCAGATTGTAATTCACTTCCCATTTGTAAATCCTACATGCCTCTTATAAGGTTACAAAGTACTGCATGACACTCCCAAGTTAGTTTTTCCTTCATAGGCACGAGCAGAGTGATTCAAAATTAGTACTCGCGTAGCCGCCCGCATCGTGTCCAGGTCACGCGTTCAGGTTAAACGCGCTTGAACTCCTCTCCTTCAACCTTGCGCTTGAATTCGGCGGAATAGAACTCAGCCTTAAAGTCGACACCTTGCTGCCACAGATTTGCACACAGTAATGGCGAACTATGGAATCCTTGGGCCCAATACGAGGAAATTTGTCTAAAAGTAATTTACTCTGGCATTCTACATGAGACAAGTGTGGTCGTGGCTGAATTTCCGGAAGCCTGGTTGATTCTGAATGGTACGCTATCGACCTGGATCATGCTTTAAGATCTGTTTCTCTTACATTGTCGCTTTCTCTAGCGTAGTAGGTATCAAGGACAATCATCGAGATGTGTTTCCAGCGAATACCACCAGCAATATGGGATTCGTCGTGCCCTTATGCTCTAATAGAAAGTTGTCGTCTGATACCCGCCGTATGCAACAGCCAGGGAACGTCGAATGTTTTCATTTTTACTCCCTGTCGCCTCACACCATAGTACCCCCTAATTCATTTTGAGTAGAGTTCGTACTGCCGCAGTGCGAAATCATTCTTGCTCTTGTCCAATACCGTAACGTCGCCACCTCTCAACTTTCGAACAATCGGCGAGCTTTCGGGATATGCCGTCTTTCACATACACCTGCCTATGGCATGGTAAAATTGCATCTTGTGTGCCACATCCGGTCCTGAGCAGTCGTTCCAACTTAACAGACCGAGCCCTTGCGAAATTGAGAGATAAACTTTCAAAGCAGGCTTCATTTATTAGTCGAGCGATGACCTTGAGGTATGAACAACCCGTCATGAACAGTTTTCCATTCGTTAATCATTATTTTCATCCGTTGAAGATCCTAGGGACAATACTGCGAATGCGAGTTCCAAGTCTGGGATATTCCGCTCAACATTCCATAAACACGCACCCTACTTTCCAACGTGCTCTTACCGCGGAGATGGTGATTAACGCCTAAGTCCTCCTTATCCCTCGGAGTAGGTGGTCCTGTCACCTGATGGAGTTTGGGCGGGGTGATAAAAGTGTCGGATTCTGTGGATATACAACAAGCTCTCGTTCGACATCAATCAAAATCGACGACGACTTCCTTGGAGAATCCCTAACTGACCCTCTTGCATTTCGCCCCTCTGATTCACGCACACTGTACTGTGTACTGGGAGCACTTTGCCGACTCGCGAGCGTATCGCATTCTTCTTATCCTCTTGTTGACAGTCTTTTCTGGCGGCTTAACAGAGAATCCGTGCAACGTTCAGTCCACTAAGCAGGCAGAACCCATATATACCATACAGGGCTACTTCCTGCACTGATGAAAACCTGAAGAAAAGTTCGACCAGACTCTATCCGAATGAGTGTGTCATAAGTCTGGATCCTCTTCCCCCGCCAATTGACATCCATTGGGGTTGTATGATACAGTGTGGCAAGTCTTTCATGGAGAGGCGCAGTTCAAACTCAGGCTTCCAGTGCCGCTGTCGGCCGCGATCATTCAAAAAACCTTCGATCCTTGACTATCCGCCGAACGACTAGGAAAGAAGCATGATAACTAATCCTGTCATTCCGCCCGATACACATGATGATACTGTCGAACAACCAATTGACGCTATTCGGGCCCCCTTCGTAAGAACCAGCGTTCTAGTCGCGTGTATTTGCGTGTATTGGGCCTAATTTTTTCTGTTTCCTTTGGCTCGTCCATTCCATCCTCTTTTTCTCTCGCCACATCGCGACTTTAGCTTGCAGGGAACGTGTTGTGGCTAGGCTAGCACTGGTATAGTTGAATAGACTACAGTAATGATCGTTATATCTCGTTATTGTTTAGTTCTAGTCTCATTCATTGCTTATTGAACAGGTGAACGAGAATCAAGCAAGTGGCGACCAACCCTAGCATCATGTTCGCCTCTATAACAAAGCCTTCCGGTGTGCTTTTACCTTTAGTTATCTCTTCCTGACTTTCCTTACTCGTTCCCAGCAATGGATTCGACCCTCCATCGTCAGCACGAAGAGGATAAAGATTTTTCTTTCGAGCTATCTTCGCCTCGTAACGGTTTTGACGCGACGAACATGAGTGTGTCTAGCGCTGACGATAAAGACAAGTACATGGACAGCACTGCGAGTCCTTCCTTCAGCATGGAGAAAACGAAAGGAAACGCGCAAGAAACGGTGATTCCTGTTCAACTGCACAAGTCGAGAGATGGGCTTTTGGATTCGACCGGTTCAGGATCGTCGAGATCGGAGGGGCCGGTAGGTGGACAAGGCACAGCGTCTCAGCTAGACTGTCCGGATGGAGGGTTGAGAGCGTGGCTGGTCGTTCTTGGGGTGGGTCCACGCGTCGGTTCATCGTTCAGAGAACCTTTTGCTGAGATTATCGTTGGACAGACTGCGTTTAGTACTCTCGCTTCGTATGTCAATTTCTCTCTCTATCCATTTCGACCGATATCCATGCCTCCTTCTATCAAAGACTTGGGTATATAACCTCCTGGGGAGTGAGTTCATTTCTCGCGTGACGATGTAGAGACACTGATGGGCATATAGGTGTTCCAATCGTATTACGAGCAGACCTTACTTAAAGACCATACGCCCTCTTCGATGTCAGTCTTGTTCTACTAGACTATATTTGTCACTGACTGACAACCAACCAGCGCATGGATTGGATCATTGCAGGTAAACATATCGAAACCATTTCTTGTTCGCCTCTTGATCTCCCCGCTGATGACAATGTTTTCTGTCATTTCCATTTCCAGGTTTGTCTGGTCTTCTTACCCGGACTAATCAGCGGACGCCTTTTCGACCTCGGAATATTCAAGCTTCCGTTTGTCGCGGCCTCTGCTTTGCTCGTTACGTCAACGTTTCTCGTCGCGGAATGCACTCAGTATTGGCAGTTTGTGCTTTGCCAGGGATTGGCTACAGGAGTAAGTGTTCCATCATGATTTGCCGTCGTTCTCTCAGTCTTCCATTCGCCTCACCTCACTCATTCTATCTTCATCACTTGCCCACACTAGCTTGGTGTCGGCATGGTATTCGGTCCTTCTCTCAGTGTCCTCGGTCACTGGTTCAAACGGAAACGGGGAGCCGCGATGGGTTTGACCACCCTCGGATCTTCTGTTGGAGGAACAGTGTTCCCTATTGCCACGAGAACGTTGATTCCAGCCGTTGGGTAAGTACCGTTTTGCTTTCACATTCGTGTCCTCCAATGTCAAATTTTTGTTAATTTTTACCACTTTTTCCATTGCAGATTCCCATGGACAATGCGAATCCTCGCTTTTATTCTCCTATTCTCCCTCTGTATACCATGCTTTACGCTCGCCAGACGTTTACCGCCAAAAGCAGTCTCTGGCGGACTATTCAATTTTCGAGCTTTTAAGGACTCACCACCGTTTACGGTCTATTGTGTAGGAGTTGTTTTTCTATTTTTGGGGCTATTCACTGGTGAGCAGGTTGGGCAGGAACGCGTTAGTGTGTGCTGACGGGTTTCCCTAGTAATGACCTATATCGACATCAGCGCCGTGACGAATGGCGTTTCGCCCGATTACTCGTTCTACCTCGTTTCCATAGTCAATGCAAGTTCGCTACTTGGAAGGGTTGTGTCAGGAATATTGGTGGATAAAACTGGTAAACTTGCGTCTCTGTGGATTGACGCCGATGGGTCATTGACATTGTACATAGGAGCAATCAACTTTATTGCACCGACGACATTCCTTGCCGGAATCGTAACGTTTGCATGGCCGTTCGCTACATCGAAGAGCTCTCTAACGGCAATTGCGGTAACCTACGGGTGAGTGTTATCATCTTGGTCCGTGGATCATTATCTTATCGCGCATATTGTATACTCTTTCCGTCATACCCTTCCTGCCAATAATGTCCTAATCCCTTTCCTCCCCCCTTTGACACAGGTTCACTTCTGGCACTATCATCCCCGGGTTGGCCATTCCTGTGTTTCTGCTTGGAGACGTGTCGGACATCGGTCGGAGGACCGGAATGATGATGACCTTGGGTGCGTTAGGAGGCCTGTTTGGAGCACCAATTAGTGGTGCAATCAACAGAAGCAGCGGCGGATTTAAGGCAGTTGGATATTTCGCTGGTGAGGCGGGATTACCATTTCGTATTTCTGATTGACTATCAACTCACGCGTTTTATTCGGGGAAATCCCTATGATAGGCACGATGATGATTCTTGCTGGTATTTTTATGCTTGCTACGAGATATTTGGTGTTGAGGAAGCTTCGAGGAAGATTTTGATATGTGGTGCACGACTTGTTATCGATGAACGCGCACCTTTTCACTGAAAAGGTTGGAATGTACAACATTCGTAATAATTACTCTAACGGACTAATAATTTTGGGTGCCTCACATATGAATTTTCTGCCTGTACATATAGAATGCAGGGATGATATTACCAATGTCTACAGGGAGACCGTCGGTTCAACATCCGCAGAGTCAAAATGAAGACTCCGCGCAGTTTCTGCAAAACGCTGACGACTACTTTAGTGCCAAATATTCGCTGAATCCAGTTCTCTTAACTCATATCGCCGTTATTGTTTGGTTTAGCCTCCAGCTCCAGAGGCTCTTCATGTTTAATGGGCAATTGCACGTGCTTTAGAGAGTTTCACTTGGAATAACTTGTATAGTTAAGTAGTTTCTACTCAGAGACGTTGACGGGTGCTTATTATAAAGTAGTCAAATAGTTCGCGAACATTCGCGGGAGGATGCATTGCGAGGCATTGCGGGTACATAATTCCCGATGTCTTGCATTTTGACTCAATGCTAGCGCTCAAAAAGGAATCACTTTACACACGGATTGTCGAATGAAGAACAAGGAAGATCAAAATTCCTCTGTAATCTAGAAAGGATCGGAACTTTTCGTATATTCTCCGCCGCCGTGTTCCTCGACCATGAATTTCAACCCCCGCCTTAATCATTGTGGTCTGATTCTGGTTTGATTCTGGTAAGTTCTGCACCAAAAGTTACCAGTGCCTCGTGTTGCAGCGCCTTTGCATTCTAACGGTTTTTTGCTCAGCACTCAACGCTCCGAAATATAAACCTGCCCAGCTGGCTAACGATACTAGCAGTTACAAACGTCGTGTTGATCTCAGTGTCTCACCATCGCGGGGGTTGCAGGAGACGTAGATGGGACCCTTTGTACTTATCCGAGGAAATCGCCGATTCAACCGACTCTCAGCGCTTAGTGCCCCCCACAAGAGCATAGCTGGAATCTTCAACCGCATGTTGATTGTGTCGCTTTAGGTCAATCCCACCCAGGCTGCTACCCACGATGGATATTGAACTCCCGTACCCTACGGCAGCACCCTTTGCTTTCTTTCGATTACATGGAACTGAACGGCTAAGAACACTCTATGTGTGTCCCATCTTGTCAGAGTTTGCCTTCACCTTTTTAACCTCGCAGTTTCTCGGATGTCAATGAATAGCAATTTATGGCAGACTTCAATATACTCCCATTGAATTCCAATGAATTGAGAAGCACGATTTAGCCGCTGGTGGACCCACTGGCCACGACAAACATTAACAGAGAAGACAATTGACCATCTGACATTCTCTGATTTCTGAATCCTGCAAGTTGATTGATAGCACCTTTGGCTATACTAAGCGATACTTTTCCTTTCCTCAAACCCCACGTCGACACTGGTTCAGCGGTAGAACCTGCTCTCATATAAAAGACCTCGAGTCGATTAGTGATTCGTACATCTATCTGTTCATTCTTTCATCTCTAACATGCCCCAATACTCTGATAGAAGTGCGTCTAGCGCTCGCTTTTTTAAAAAATTTCACGTTACCGATATCTTTCCATCTAGGAGGGTACACTCGTACATCCCACAGTCCGTCTGGAGATTCAGACATTTTTCCTGATGCGGGTCCAACTCTTCGTTCTGCTTTCCGAATCCCTGCTGGAATGCCGATCAATTTGAACTTTCTGCCCGATCCCCCACCCGGCGAACGCCCAGCAGCACCCTTAGAGACACTTACTCAACTCGCGATATATGGTAGTCCTAGGGGTAAACTTACACTGCAAGAGATATACTCAGCAATCGAGGAAAGGTTTGAGTACTATAGGACAACCGATCGTAGATGGAAGGTACGCCACAATCCCTGGTCGGTCGATTTGTGCAGTTACTAAGCTCCTTGTAGGCGTCTATCCGTCATATGCTTTCTCTAAAATCCATATTTGTCTCTACTGAGCGACCACCGACTGCCCCTGGACGGGGAAATTATTGGCAACTCGACGCCACCGTCACTATCAAATACAAACGACCCCGCAAACGAAGAGTAACATCGCGAGGCACAAACTCCACGCGCAGTTCATCTTCGGATGGCTCTGAAGACAGTAAAAATCGCGTTGGGGAGGTCCGCCACATTTTTTCAAGCCCTGCTCCGGACACCACATCCGGTTCGGATGAAACGAAGCCCTGTATTGCTTCGCCGATTTTGCCGTTCTCTATGGACGAGTATCAAAGCGCAGGCTTTGTTCATCATCCCCGGCCTAGCGTCGCAAATTCCTTCAACTACGACTCTCTTGGCCTTAGTGGCGACAGTGCCCTTGGGCTATCCCAAGCCCTAACTGATCCTTCCTGCGACACCTGGTGGGGCCAAATACCGGCGTCTTCTCCAGACCCAATGCTGCCTGATCACTCCCTTGGTCTTTCCAAGCCTTCGTATCGCCCGAGGGTTATCAGACCACCACAACTTCCAGGTTACTTGATGTGATCGGCCTCCGCAATACCATTATGATGATTTCTTTTGCTCTTATCAGCTCTCTTCTTCCCTGTATTATACATGTCCCTTCCTTGTATCCATACTCATTATCTATACACTACACTACATTCAACGCCTTTGAAGTTTGGTTCGAGTAGAAGTGTGGCTATTGGTTTCTTATCATAGTACCCTGTATTGCTAGTCTGCCCCTATTCTTTGATGTTGCTACTCTGCGCCCTACTCTTTGATGTTGCTTGTTTACTCCCTACTCTTTGATATGTAGAATGCGATACGTAGTTTGTTCAACTTTGCGTCGCGACGCGTTTCGGCACGTGATATTCGCGTGTCAAATAAAAGCCAATTAGCTACAGCCTACATAGCCATCTTTGTTCTTCATTTTACTTACTCTTCCAGCATGACTCTCGCCGTGCTTTAGGCATCGCATGGAAGTATTTCATGGCACTTTCCGTGAATGTTACTCCGAAACTCATTAATGACCTACAACACTAGCAGACCAAAAACGCCTGCATGCGCTCGTTTGACAAGCAGACTCTGCGCAAATATGAAAAGAGCGTTTCTCCTGCACTCATAGTGCACGTGGATAATAGAGCTTCATTTAGTTTTCTAATGTGATTGACACATTGTATACGGTTTCAAAACTTAAAAGATGAAGAGGCTGGCTTCCTTCTTCAAAGGAGCTTCAAGACAAAGCAAAAGCGGCAGGTTAAATGATTGTCTTCCTGTCTATAAGTCCTCTCACTGAATCTTATAGGATGCGCTCAACGATTTCGCTGCTTCAAGTACTTCCAATCTCCGCGATCCTGTTTCATATTCATGGGACTCACTGAGTCCATAGCTATATTACATCCTCCATTTTCAATGTCCTCATTTTCTCATTAATATCTCTCCGTCTGACAGAGAGCTTGTAGACTCCTTGATATCTGTGGGCGAAACACATTCATTCTAGAGACATACTACCTAACGAAGGAGAAGGTAAGTATTCCTCTTGGCTAACTTTGCGTATGTCGCATATCAAGACGCTCTAGAAGGTTCGATTTTGGTGAAGTTGTGGACCGCTTTTGGGCCTTCTTAGGTGGGATCGCGCTTTCAACGTTTCTACATGGGAGTTTCTACTATTCACTCAAAACTCGGTCTTCGTCTTCTAACAATGTTTCCCCTTTCCGTCAAATTTCTACCAAGTTACGTGCGCCCACAAAATCTTCCTCCAATGTCTGGCATCTTGTGATCTTGAATCCGGTGAGACCTGCTTATATATAGTTTGAATCCTGGTTCATTACTACTTTGCTGGGCTAAAAGATAACAGTCACATCGCACCTTCAATACTCTCATATGTCTGGGATTGATTACTTTATGCTGTCTATTAGGCTACGACCTACTTCGAATTTCAAAACTGCTCCCCAACCTTTCGGTTTTGAGGGTTCTTTGGGCCGTAGGCACCAGAGCTACCATGAAACATTCATTTTGTGTCTCCTGCGTATTATCATCCTATCGTGGCCTGAATCGGAGTCGAATCTTATCAAGTTGGTGTATGTTGACACTGGCCCACAGAGATAAATCGATTGAATCGACTGTTTCAGCCCCCAGTAGTTCAAAATCCCGTGTGGGGCGCACAAGCTCAAACTTGCGTGTACCCTCCCTTTGACTTGCTGTTACGTGGTAGGCGACATAGAGAGCAATAATAATTTAAAGAAAAGGGGAGTCATAATTGACCTCAATTTACTGCTTCCTCTCTCTTCGCTCACAAACTTGAACTAAGCCTCTCTCGGGGACCCCGGCCAATACCCTATGACGCGTCCTTCTTCATCAGCCAACATCAGACGGGTGAGAAAAGGGATATTTGAAGTGGCCTTCGAACAGCCTCAATCATTTTGGGTCTTTTGGGTAGCCTGCTATGAAAATCTTCAACTTATACATTGTGGTTCTGGAAAAGCATATCGTCTTCTAAAAGACTTGTTCTGGACGGCCCCAATGGCGTTCCTGCTTTATATGATCTCAGCGTTGTGGCCTTGTTTGATGTCCGCCTTTTATCTCTGGTCCATTGCCTGCTTTCTTGAAGTGGTTTGTTGTCCCCTAGTCTTCTGTGCGTCGAAGCTCATAGATGTGTCAGTTCGTCACGCAGGAAGTAGAATACGCAACCATGCACGAATTCATGGATACAAAGATTGACACCATGCACAAGGTGGTAGTGTTGTTGATAGTCTGCCAGTCGATGACTGCCGTCCTTAAGAAGCTAAGGTTCGGTTTCATGCACTTTTTGAATGATAGAGCCCACATCGCCGTCATGTTTAGCTTCAATAGTTCTCGTAAAATCAAATATGGGATTAGGAACCGCTTTTATCCTATATTTGCACGCAGTACGTTCGAGTGACTTTTCATTTAAAGCTACTTGTTTTCTGAACGTGTACCTCTTCAGAAAGCCTAACCCTTTCGCTCGATACAACCAAAGGTTCGGTGTTCCCTTTCGCATCATTTACTCAGGTTAATTTATCCCTCAGAACCTGATGTCCAAGAAATATTACCTCTCCCATGGGCTTTCGAAATTGACAAATCATTGGGCTGGGAGTTTCTCCATGAGTTTACGATTTTTTTACAGAATTATATCACAATCGGATTGCAAATTTCGATCCTACTCGCAATGGTGGCTAGGCAAACAATGGTCTTGGATTTAGGAGCTTTTTGTTGCACAATGGTCCCAATGTTTATGATCTGCATACCGACAAATGGCCTTGGAGGGATTGGTTGAGTTCTGTTCTGTTTATTTTTCAATATGCAAGCTCATGAACCTACCAGGATACTCTTTTTGGACAAATGACCCAGCCTATCATCGTGTGGCTGCTATGCATCAAATCATCTTCGACATTGGATACAGAAAATCAGTTTTAAAAGACGGAGCAATAAACTTTATAATTCAAGGTTTGCCTGCATGTTGTAGGATTCTACTGTGTCTGATTGTTTTCTTTCCCAGAATATGAACGCTCTATGAAAAAATTAGGATTTTTATCAATCGATGCAGAGATGCTTTGCTACGGTATTCCTATTCCGTGGTATTGGCAAGTATTGGAAATGGTAGTTGAAATACCTTTGGTGAGACCAAGCATTCGCTAGTTAAAATGTTGTTTTGACACTTTGGCAGATCATTTTCATTTTCACATATCCAATAGTCGAGAAAGGCTCATCATTGTCATGGTTCATGACAGGACTGTTTGTTCAGTATGCTTCATCGAAGTTGAGACAGAACATTCAGAAGGTCAGAACAGCTCAGAAACCGCTGCACGAGGTGCTCGGTTTGGCGGAGCAATTTTACAAGGGCCTCAGTTTCGAAAAACCACTGTTGGAAGGTGCTCGTGCATATCCTGATAAGACACGTAGCTTTTCACTGGGTATGAAGATATCTTTCAGGTATGTAACTATATTTCACTGCGATTCATAGCCATGAACTGAAGGTATGATAAATTATCTGCAGGAATATCTCTCTAGCCCGACAATCGAGCCTCCGTTCTCGCTCAGCTATACGAGACGTGTCATTCGATGTATTACCGGGACAATTCGTTCTTCTTGTGGGCCAGAACGGTAGTGGAAAGACTTCTCTTCTTCATTTAATTTCTCGTCTGCTCGATCCGAGCACTGGTGCTATCCTGATCGACGGAGTCCCCATTCAAGACTTTAATTTGCAATCACTTCGTCAATCGATGGTTGTTCTTCTCCAGACAGAAGAAATCTACCCTATTTCCATTCGTGATAATCTCTCCATCTCACTCTCAGAATCCGATAAAGAACTATGCAACTCGAAGCCGGAGAGCTTTGACCGAGCTGCGAAGATGGGTGGCTCCTACAATTTTATCAATGACCTCAAGGAAAAATACGAGACTGTGTTGAACCCTGTATCTCTTTTCACAACCAGCTCCGATGTTTTTGGGAACGGAACAGTTCCTTTGGCTGCTGTGGAAGAGATGCGACGTAACGCGCCGTGCATGGCGCCCATTCCCCTGTCAGGTGGTGAAAAACAAAGATTAATAGCGTATGTATCTAGCTTTACTCTACATTTGGTTTATTTCCTTTCACCCATGAACAGATCCCGGGCTTTCATGAAGTTGAATAATCATTCCGACGTCAGATTGCTCATTGTAGATGAAGCTACTTCCGCTCTGGATGCGATAGCCGAACGCAACATCCTGGGCAAATTTCGAGAGCATGGTGTCCACAAAACCACGATATTTGTGACCCACCAATTCCGGTACCTCGCCCATGAAGCCGATCTGATACTGTGGGTCTTTGATTCCCTATTGTACTATTTCTTCCCAAACTTAATGTACGATTGCCCGCGGGTTTCAAGATGCATGCATGAAGGCAGACTAGTGCAGAAAGGCACACACAACCAGTTGATCTCGGATACGGAGGGCGAATACGCCAAGCTCTATAATGCTCAGGTGCGATCTTGAAGGGTCTGGTTTGAATTCTTTATAGTTTATCTATCGGTACGCTAAATTCCTTTTCGTTCGGCATCCTGCACTTATTGAAAACTTAAATTGAAGGTGTAGTCGTGGTCTGCATATCCTATCTGTCGTCTTATTTATTTGAGGAGAGCCGTACTATTTCCGGTATTATTTATGTACCTTTGTAGGTTTCGGTTTTGAAGCCACTAGCATCTGAACTTCAAAAAATTTAATAGAGAACGAGACATACGTCTGGGTGCACCTATATATTTTTTTAGAAGCTATATCCTTTCTAGAAGCTCAACAGGTTGAAGTGATACGTGTGTGCTCGACCCGCGGCGCTTTCACCAAAACAGTCGTGTAGCTTCTCCTATACTAACCAGTCAAGAAGACATTGCGGCCTTTGACAATGGATACGTCTTGCTATATAGGGAAAACTTTGATGTGGAGAGGGGGGAGACGTCGGAGAATCTGGGGTGAAATCGATTAGAGGTGATTAGACGGGAATAACTTGTGTGCCCAGGACCGACAAGCATTCCTTGGGTCGGTAATGGTCGCGTTGGGATACCCAAAGTTGAATAGCACGTTTGCGAGAAATGATATGATCTGGCGGGATTATCATTGCAAATAACCGTCATGGAGATTCAGAAGCTAGCGCTGAGGAGGAGGAGGAGGTCCGAGGAACTTCATGCGAGTTCATGCGAGCTCTGTGAAAGTCACGCTCTGTACGGCAGGTATTTTTACACACTGATAATGTAGACGTTATCTGCTTGAAAGAGAGTTGTGTACTGGTCAAGGTGGCACTAGGATCTAAACGTTGAAGTTGTCAAGACTGGTGGTTATTTCGGATGTGTCCGGAACCGTGGCGGAACGTATCCCGGTGATTTCACTGATTCGGGCAAACCATCGTTCTACGACCTTTCCAATCGCTATATACCTGCCTTCAGCGAGTTCAGTCTGCGTGGAATGCTAAAGGAGTCTTGGTCGTCTTTCGTGGTCTGATGGGGTAAGAAGAGACCTATGAATACAACGAAACCTAGCTACGCATGGACAAGTTGCGGTCACCGAGTTTTAGACACCGCGAATGATTCAGGGATCGTTTCCTCTACTTCTTGGTCGACGTCTGGCTCTGGGTCGAGTTCAAATTTGACTACCCATCAAGAATAGCGGAGAGCTGAACATGTTGGATGTTCCGAGCACTTTGATTTGAAGATAGTGCGTTCTAGATTTACTCCGAAATATAACTGACAATATGATCTTCTCCCCAGACCGGCTTTAGCGAACATACCATCAGGATAGTCAAGTCATCCCTCCTCCCTTCACGATCTTGTGCTAAATAGTCGAGTAGGAGACGCTTGGCTAATGCCGTGTCCTCAGCATCAGATTCAAGCTCGAGCTCGGCATCCATTCCTCGTTTTTTGTTACTTTGAATTGGATTTCACAGTTCATCTGGGCGACTTCCAAGACCCTTGTTCTCAAGCTCACATGGATCTCCCTCTGCCTTATTGGACATGATATACGATTGTTAAGAGGTAAGGATTCCCAACCAGCTACGCCGCTCCACCACCCCACAGCCCTTTTCTTCCTACTTCATTTATGCCGCTCTCATTCTCTCATCTATAGCTTCTTCTTCTTTTGGGGTTTCCATAAAAAGACAACATCGCAATAGATTCAACGAGTGTTTCAACCGGGTTTCAACTCAAAATCAACCACGAATCGCTCATTCAAGCCCGGTATCTCGGTGCCAAAAATAAGGGAAAGACAAAGCCGAATCAATCCAACCAGTGAGGTGATTCTGAAGTCTATTGGCAAAATTTGAAACTTACGACCAGACTCCTGGCTTGTTGCACACCTCGCCAGCGAAACCCACGTATATGAGTCTCAAGGGTTATCATTCTATACCATGGACAGTTGCAAGCTTGGAGGAAGGATAGCTCGGTAGCTCATACTACATGAAGGTTCAAGCTGGTTGGGGATGTTCAAAACTATCGAGGTTCTAGGCTCTAGCATATAGCGAACCAACTTGACGGAAGCTGTAGCCAAGTAAAAAGAAAATAAGGGAATTGGACTTTTTGAATTCGTCTTGACCTTTACGCATCGTGTTGAGTGAATCATTGTGAGTTTAGCCCTCCTTGTTAATGATACATTTTACGTTTAGCACTGACATCAGTCCATCGGTACAGTACCCCTTTGACAGCGACAAAATTGTGCCAAGAGCATCATATGAGGTGAGTACATCTTGTAACAATTCACAGCGGTGGAACATGAGCGTACTAGTACTAACGACTCTGTTCCCCTTTTCATGTACCATACAGTGGGAGCGGACAAATGCAGTGTCTTCGGCTAGTCCTCTATGTTTCTGAAACAATGAACTAGACCTAACGCTCAACGACGTGCGTTCCCATCTCTTTGTACAAAAGGCTGAGACGGTACTAGCAGTGAGCGGGACACAATTATGGCTAATAGAAATGAAGAAGTTCGCATCAATTTGAGGTTGATATATGGTACTTACCATTCTGTTTTACATAGGATCATTCGTTCTCATATAGATCTCAGGTTCAAGATTATCCATTGCTGATAAGTATAGTTAATCATTTCCCTCGGAATTACAGCCCACTTCAAGTTCGACATTTCGATGTTGAAGAGTTCAACATCATGAAATATATAGAATAAGTGACCCGACTCAGAAGGAGAGTTCAATCCGGGCAGATACCGTGCGCAGGATAGCAGCTTTTATATCCAAACAAGTACATGATGTCAGTATCGATTGGAAGAAACAACAAAAGGAGCAACGAAACCAACCTTCCATAAGCAGTCCCGTTGCCTCCATTAATTGGCTCAAAGTATGGTCCACAGCAGACATATCCTGAAGGGCCTATTGATAGGCATTGATAATTTCAACGAGATCAGCCACGAGCGAGAGGTTGGTATCCAGGAAACTCAAAGGACGTACAGTAAGGTGCCTGCAGACGATGGAGAGATGAAATACAGATTCAAAGAGGTCAGAATAATTCAAATCATATAGTCCCTTACAACGTCCAGTCCACCTGAAAAAATCAGCATATGTATCACAGCAATGATTGACCTCGTCATACGCACAAACTAGATGGTCAGTCTGAGCTTCTGTGGCTGGGAGACCTTGTACCACAGGTGTAGCTATTGCCGTCAGGTAGACAACAATGAAGGATATGCCAGTGGTTAGTTTGGTGTTGAGAAAGACCATGAGCGTAGTTCAATTTGGATTGTTAGAGTTTGTCTTGGTAAGTGAAGGGAGTCCTCGAACGGGGGTCCCAAAACTCAGTTCAACATCTCTTTTATACCTAGGGGACCCGGAAGGCGTGTTCTGGTAGTGCAAATGGGAAAACCCAGTCACAATTTTCCAATGAGTACACTTACCGTTTTACACAATGGTGACATCAATTGAGCTCCCGAAGGGACGAGGCTGTAACTTATAATCTTCGAGTTAGAAGGTGATGCGGATAGATATAACTAATCATATAATACTATTAGGAAACCGTTCATTCCGGCCCCTCAGTTGAGGTGAAACAAAGATATGCACACTGGAAGTCAAGGTGCAGAAAACATAAGGGGATAAGTACAGGATGCATCATTCATGTATAGTGTCCTTCAGTGAATTGGATACTTACGATACATGCAAAACCCTGTAACTGGCATTGCGGTTAAGATATCGGGTTAGAGGCAGAGCCTCGGAGGACGTATATTTCGACGTGAATGTTTCATGATATACCATAATCGCAACCCAATCATTACAGAGTTTCGCACTTGCCATCAAGCCTACAGGTTGCCTACGCATGACGAACTCTGAGACTCAAGTGCCTCCCCAGGAATGACCTACAAGGTGAAATTTGGTGGAGATGGAGATAAAAGGTTCTCGAGCTCAGCGATGAAGAGGTCAATAGTTCAGAACGAGACGGGTTCCATTGGGATGATGGTGGCGGGATGGGGTGAAATTTAAACCATCATTCAGTTGCTGGTGTACACATTACAATGCCCCTAAGTTATAATTCACCACAAACACAATCCATAGACACCTTCGTTCAAGATTTCGCGCATTTGCACAGAATCTACGACGCATGAAATGAACACCGTGACTCATCATTTACCATTCACTATTTAATATTCACCTTCAGAATGTGCCTACGAACTCCTCCAGCTCACGCCCCCCGAACAACGCCAACACATGCCTTCTTATAGTCCCCACTAGTCTCACTAGCGACCCGAGCCTCCAACGACTTCTTATACTTGCGCTCATACGTGCGTTTGACGTTGGTGAAGTGTATTTGGTCCCAGTGGGTGCGGATGAGTCTGTGTAAAAGGAGTGGTTTTAACGAGGAGAGTGGATAAAAAACAAAGTAGAACACGATAACTCACCGTCTAATGAGCAGATCATCCTTTGTACCCATTCCTTTCATCGTAGCTTCCAACAACTTTACGTCCCGCCATACTCTGGGCCCGTCGGTTATGTGTTTCGGATTAGCTGCAGTGACGATGTGAAGAAGTGTGGATTTTGTGTGGCCAGAGCTATGTATGTTTGGTGATGGAAGGAGGAAGGCGGGAGGAGGACGCAGAACAATGATCAGAAACGTGAAATAACGGTATAGCATTCAATTTGACTTACAACTCATTCTTGATAACTTTTGAGAGCGTTTTTCCGTGTTGACGCTGGTATGATTCCCATCTTTTAAGTAAAACACAGCAGATTAATACATCGAGGAACGAGATATGTTTGCCATTGGACGAATAACGAAGCTCGGGGGACAAACAGGGGACGACGAAGGCAGGGGAAAAGAGGAGCAGAAGAAACGAAACAGACAGACTTACAATGCAGTTAGGTGAGGGACCGTGCGGTTGATGATGATGTTGCAGAATGCGATCTGGGAGCAAAAGATATTAGATAGATCAACGGAAAATTGAAGGAGATGGAAAGGAAGATTGGAAGGAACAGGAGAACAAAGACTGTTTCATGAAGTCGTTCGTTTCCGACACATTTGTTCATTGACGAAACAATGACAATGATGAAGAAAAACTCACCTCATCTGTTCCGATCTTACCTTGGCCAGCTTTGTACAGTGCCTTGACATCCGCCTCAACAAGCTGAGGATCGACAGGACTGTTGTCGGAGGGCCGATTGGAGGATAAGATCATTGTGTAAACTTTGCGCGAATGGTTAGAAAAGGGAGTTAGAATATAGGTGAAAATTACAAATATGTCACAGTAAAGACAACTCACTCCTTTCAGTCTTCCCACTCAAATCGCCCTTCACCGCTTCCTCCAAGGTTCGACGGTGTCGTGCGCGGTATGCTTGGTTGAGAAGGTAGAGATCCGAGGGCGAACGGTCGGCGATGAGGGAGGTTAAGAGGTGTTCGTCGGTGCTTTTGAAGAGGACGGAGGTTGTGATAGTAATCAGCATAAGGGGGAAAAAATAAATGCAAAAGGAATGGACTCACCCAGCTCCACTCAACGCCTCATGAAGCAGCTTGACATCATACTCGACAGGTCCGAAAACGAGGGGAGCTAGTACGTCTCTATAAGAAGAAGGGTGGAAGTCAGATACGTAACGATGGGAACAACAAATCCAGACAATGCGAAGTGGTTACCCCCGTCGCCTTAAACCACCGAGAGTACGAGGAAAAAAAGAAAAACTCAAAACTCACCTCAACCGTCCACTCGTTTCGCTCTCCACATCCGCAATGAGCTCCTTGCCCGTCGCAGCGCGGTAAGTGGCACCCAGAATGGCGAGATTCATAGCGGAAAGGGGGGTAATTGTTTGGATTACTGGAAGATAAGAACGGGGATCGTTAGCACGGAGGGTGGAATGACAAAGAAGCGGAGATAAGATAATTGAATGAAAGAAGAAAACGAAGAACAGGGACAGAGAAGTAAGAGGATATAATGAGGGAGGGCACAGAATCACCGATTATTTGAACGATTGAATGCAAAGAAAGAATGGATATAGGCAACGAACGAACGAATGAAACAAGAGAAGGAATACCAGGACGAAGTACTCACGAAGACTCTCCTTCGTCCCAATACCCCTCATCGCATCCCTCAACTTCTCCACATCCGCGTTTCCGTTGTATCCATCGTGTCCCGGAACACCCTGCGCCGGCGGTGGACCATCGAGAGGCGGGATAGGTGTGTTCAGGTAGTATGTAACGATTTGCTGGCCGTATTGTTGTTGGCCGTATTGTTGGCTAAGCGCACCGGTATACGAAGATGGTGGTGGGCCTGGAGGCGGTGCATATCCAGAGGCAAAACCTGGACCTGGTACAGGAATTAGCTCATTAATTCTGAACGTATAGGACATACCGGGAGTACCAGACGTACCAGGCATTCCAGGCATTGAAGGAGGAGGCCCTGGAGGCGGAGCGTATCCGGATGTTGGAGGTGCAACGTATGATGGGTTCTGGAATAATGAAGGAGGTCAGATATGGTGGAAGTAAGAAATGACGGTCACGGGTATTGAGGGGAGAGGACGGGAAGGAGAAGGAGAAGGAAAGTCCAGGACATTAGGGAAACAAAAAATGAATGATGGCCCAGGTGAAGAAGAAACAAAGGTGGAAGAGAATGTAAACAAAACAAAACTCACGTATCCTTCACGGAAACCTACCTGTTGTCCTCCTCCGTACCCTCCTCCATACCCTGCTCCTAATCCATATCCTGGTCCTCCAAATCCTCCCGGTCCTCCAGATCCTGGTGCTTGAGCCTGAGGCATTTGCTATACATGCAAGGAACAAATCAGAAGTAAGCGAGGAATCTATGCGGAGGGGGAGACGTACGAATCCTCCTGGTCCTCCTACTCCCGGCGCTCCTGGGATTCCTTGATTATCGTGATGAAAGTTGGTCATCGTTCGTTGGCTAGTAGATAGTTGATAACGACAATCGACTTTGGCTTTGCTGGCTATTTAAATCCTTCAGCGAGTTGATTCTTCTGTAATAATCTTACAGTTCGACTTTCTTTGGTGACGGAAGACGGAAAAAAGAACCAAGAAAGAACGAAAGAGAGCGAAACTAAGTACTGGATACCACGAATGCCTCGATGCTGTCCATTGATTGTTGTTGATTGATGCTGTCGGATGGGCGATCGATTGATATCAGATTATATATGTGTTCTTCAGCCACTGCAATCCATTTTTCTTGTTTCCTTTTCATCTTTCAGATGAGAAATGCACGGTATTTACAAACTTGCGCAAGAGCATTTTGTTCTGAGGCTGGCAATACGTAGTTCTTCTCAAGCTTCGCTGTTCTTTATGTCATCGATCCTTCTGAGAAGGATCTTTGTTCCCTTCTGAGCGCTGAGCGCAAAGTCGAAACACCACTTGTTTAGATAACGTTCTTTCCATGCACACATTCAACAAACTGGCCGAGCCCGGGGTTTTTCGAGCTTCGAGCACACCAAGCATCTCAACGCCTTTGCGCAACTGATGCAAGGTAATCCCGGAAATCTTCATACCACCCAATATTGACCTGCCAATCGCGCCACAATGCGACTCTAATAAGACTTAAGTATTAGTTTAGTCGGAATTAGAGAAGGCCATTCACTACGAACCTCCATCCGCTGGCCTTCACCCCATCCTGTCGCAGCACATTCCATGCATTTTCGACCTGCGATGGCTCAAGGAGCCACAGATATTCATCATCCGCCTCCTGTGAAATCATCAGGACACGACCAAGCTTCGGTACTTCTATAGCCAAATCCTCCAAACTAGGTGTAGCTAATCCTAAATCCACAGGAAGTTCGTCCAGTCCCAGATCCTCTGCAGATTCCCATTTCAGCTCTGTCACAGATCGTAGCCCTGGCATGTTGATACTAGGTATGAAGTCCATTCCATTAGAAAAAAGGAGAAATTCGGTATAACTCGCAGGCAAGGTGATCTTGAGACGTTCTTCGGCCGCTTCTATGTCACTCTGGGAGGCGGGGTCCTTGCGGAGATCTTTTCCGATTTGATTGAGGAGATCTTTCAGAGGCAAGGCGCGAAGATGAGCTCTGCGGTCCCTTGCTGCAGCGACACGTTTAGCGTGTGTAGACCGCCACTGTTCAATTTCTTGAACAATGGTTTTGGCTCTTTGTATAGCTTCCTCTGGAGTAGTACCAGTGATCTTCCTAGCACGTCCTAAAAGAATCATGTCTGCCAAAGGAAATGACCGCATCAATTCTGTCCAGAGTGATACAGGATTCCCTTCGGCTTGCAATAGACGGATGCTAGAAGAAAAAGAAAGATAGTAGTCAGTATCCATCCATGAGTCCATGTAATGTATACCTATGATCAAAATAATCCTCAGCCTTCGCTTTCATACCCATCTCTAACGCGACCTCGGCGCAAATGTTCACATTATACGTGTGGAAATTCAGATTTCCTACCAGGATCTTGGCATCAGCGACTACCAGTGCGCGCGCTTTCTCGACATTTGTCTGTGGATAGGGTTGTTGAATATCGCTATATGCAGCCCAAAGCGTGGCGTCATCAGGTGGTGCACCCCAGAACGGCTCGATATAAGCTGGTCGACGTCTAGACTTGTGCCAAAGGAATTCAAACCCCCATGCGCAAGGCGTCCTTTGCTTTGGGAAGTCGTTAGGGTAGTGGACGCATAAAGCCTCAATAACTATGTTCGCAGTATCAATATATCCCTCTCCCGCAATCCAGATTGCATATTCCATTGTCTCAGCAATAACTTCTGGAGCAGATTGTACACCAGCTATAATTTGTTTGAGTGTCAAGGGTGGCGGACTCCGTGGATCAGGCTCGGCCAGCGATGCTCTCCCTGGGAAGTTGATGGAAAGACGAGATTTCAAGGCTTCTGAAAAGAGAGTCGAAAGAGCTTCCAGCAGCTCTGGGGTTCCCTTAGATACAGTCCAAAACAGTACTAAGTAGAATATCGACGTTAATAGGACTATAAGAGTTCATTTTTTTGCTCACCGTCTCGTTGCAGTGTACGATTTACTATTCTTTCTTTCACTATTCGTAACAAGCTCAGTAAGCATATCGCATATTGTAATCGGTATAGAAAGAAGAATAGATCAACAAATCATGCAACGTACTTTGAGGCTCCCAGTCACCTGTCCCAGAGGTCGGTGCGGCAATTGTTGCATTCTGAGGAAAGGATTCACATCGCAGGAGTACTGTTTGGCAGAGAAATAAGATTCAGTTACCTTTACAAATTATACGAAATATAGTAAAACGGATAACTTGCGGGAGATAGATTGATCAATTGCGATGATGTTGTTTGGCCAATACTCAAGACCAAGCGGAGTAATTAATTCGCGAAAAGTAAGTACTTTCCGAGAGTTGACGTACAGCTTTTTTATCGATGAATGGAATCACATCTGAGAAGTCTTGTGCTGTACTAGGAATTAACACCACGCATCTATGGATATTGTGGAAGTATCAAAATGGCTTTGCGCGCGATCATATGAGAGCTACCACCTACCTTGATTCAACCTCAGTCTGGTTGAGAGCAATCGCATCCTTGATCGAAAGATCTCCTCTAATTAAAGATGTGCCAAGATCGAGGCTGTCAGAGACTATCTTCACGTCGAGATCAAGATCTTGCGCTTTGAGAAATTCCAGCAACTTTAGATCAGAGAGGCAAGACTCCCTTGTAAAATTTTGGCAGACGGCCTTTGAGTGTGCACGTAATAAAGATAAAGAAAGCTAGATGTTGACTGATACTCACTTGTTGAGGAGAACGTATACTTGAATGTTGTCCGTCATACTGTTGTAGATGAGAATATAGAAGCAAAAACCGCTAATTATAAACGAAATTGTAGGGATTCCGGCGATCATGGGGACAATATTGTATAAGCCAACGACAGGTAAACCTCATGATTCTGAAGAATCATCCTGTGTCCTTTCCACGCATGGCCAATTCGTGATCATTAAACATCTGCAAAAGCAGAACCTGATCTGCCTTGGAGGTGTTGAAATTTTAGACGCATCTGTATTAGATTTTCGTTAACACGGACGACGTGCAACAAACTGATACGGTGCCATTGAACATCTTTGATTTTCAAGGAATACCTAAGCGTCAAAGAGTTTAATCCACCCTCTATAGTACAGATCATAGTACAGTTTGATAGTTCGTTAGCTCGATACAGTCTTATCTGCAGGTTTACCTACGTTATATCACATATCGACCCGATCATCTGGAAACCCCCCGAAGATGAGACAAGAAATAGAATAGAGAGGTAAATGTGTGGCGAACGCCCATGAAACATGGGGGAATGCCGGATGGTGAACGCTGGTGGTAAAGGCTTTGGGTATGCAGAATTACTTTGGCGGTGGCGATGGCGGACCTGGAAAACATTGACGAAGAAGGAACGGTATCAGTTGACCATCCGAAATCGTAAGGAGATTTGATTCACCGAAAAGACCAGCTCTAGGCGGCGGCGTGGCTGGCCCTGGCCCACCACCACCAGAGAATGAGCCATGTCGTGGTGTCGGTGAGAGTAGAGGATTGGCTGAAAGGAACGAGTCAGACAATTAGATCGAAGTTCAGAAGGAAGGTAATCAACCATGGAACTAAGTTAAAACAAGGTAATGGGAGGTAGAAAAAAAAGCTTCACCAAACGAACAGAAACGGAATAAAACACTCACGTCTCCACTGTGCCCATGCTGGTACATTTGGTTTAGGTATCTCCAACGGGGGGACCTGACTTGGAGATGGAATGGACTGAGGTATACCAGTAGCTTTTTTCGTCCGAGGTTTCCTTTCTGCGCGTTTGTGCACTGTTCTCCATGCGGGTGATGCTGGGGCTGGAGGTTCTTGAGGTGGTGGCGGATCCACTGGTGTTAGGGCTAGAGGATCATGAGGATGAGGAGGAAATGTGAGTCCGGCCATGGCGTAGGCTAAAGCGTCGGGATGATCATACTACATGATCGGAAGAAGTTTAGCGTAAGTGACAAGTTCGGAGCAGAATATGGAATAACGAAGTCTAGCGAAAGAGTGGGATCAGGAATGTGGAAAATACTCACCATGCCACCAGGCATTCCTCTATACTCTTCCTGCGACCCAGTATTCTTCGATTTCAGAGCCATTATCTCTGCAATTTCGCTAGACGATTAATGAGCATGTACCTCTGATGACGATCAAGATATAAAATCGTTTGTGGAAGGAGCGAACTGAAAGAGCTAAAGTTTTAGTACAAGGAAGACTCACTATTGCAGTTGCCTCCGCTCATCCCTCAATTGACCAACTTCAGCCAAGAGTATTCGGACCTCTCCAGCAAGTGCTTTGCTAAAATCGTAGATGTGTCTGAAAGCCATGGAAGCACAGAATAGCGACGATATACGGAAAAGGGATAAATACAGTATCGGTGAGTAAAACGCGATTAGAATCGTGGGTTCACTTGGACAAAAAGAGGCGGATACTGACTTGGGCACGGTACCATTAAATCCTGTATGAATTTGCTCTCCTGGTCCTGGTCCTAATCCTGCACCTACTCTTCCTCCGCTTCCACCAGGAAGTGGACTGGAATTTGGGCCAGGTGTGGCGCTCTGCTCCCGGCTAGGACCTGGTGAACGACCAAAATTGGAATTTGGGTCCTTGTTGGCACCTTTTCCATGTTTATTTCGTCTGTTATTCGAGGTCATCAAGGTTCAAATTGCAGATGAAACCAGCGAGATGGGCGATAAAAATAGCGGGTGACTTCGAGGAAGAAGAGGCAAAGGCAGATGAAAGCTAGGTCAGCTGTTGTAGAGTAAGAGTGAGTAGAATGTCTAAGATTATCGTTTGCAACGTTGAGTACGTCGTCGTCGTCGTTGAGTAGAAATGACCGGTGTTTAATCCCGAACATCCGATTTGTCATCACATGGCTCCTACTTACTAGCCGCGGACCGGCCAATTCCGTGGCTCCGCGTTAGTATCCAAAATTTTTGTCGCATCTTGTTGAACGTCCAGAGGAGCTTAGAAGCTCAATTATTGACAGCTTTTCTCGCGACAAGGAGACTTTACAAAATCTCTGCTTGGTCGGAAACCCAATTCACCTTGCCATCGCCAGATCACACATATGGAAAGAGGCAGAAATCCACGTCAAATTTTACAATTGGCTGGATCGCTGTAGTCTCCTTCTCTTTCTGACTGACAAGATGCGGACTCCTGAGGTGGTACCAGCTTAACCCACGCTCTCAGGCCATTTCGACTACGAAGATCCAATGACTCGCCTCCTACAAGAATCCTTGCGAAGTTTGGCCGCATTAAATCACGGTCGAGCGATGGACTCGGGCTCCCCTCCTTACTCGAGGTTGGGCTACGGTCACTTCCAAACTTAACAAGTATCTGAGCCTGTGTAGAAGGGTATGAACTTTGCGAAATGAAGTTTTTACTGCACCTTTCGAGCTTCACCAGTTGAGGAATTTGGCCATACGGTATTCGAATCCAAACGTATGCCGCGCACTAGCTTCGGTGCACAACCTCGAGGCTATCGAGTTGTGTGCAGGATCCGGGTGCAACTATTATGTGAAACATGTTAGAAGAGACCAAGCTAATTTGTTATGGGTAATCGATCTATTGGCCAACCTTCCACAATCAACTCTCGAATGGTTTTGGAATGAAATTTTAACTGACGAGACGATTAGGGACATACGCTCCATGACTAGAGATAGTATTTTGGAACGATTCTGACGCCTTCGTAATAGGCAGACATGAGGATGGCACCGTAAAATCAGTTAGCCAGTTGAAGGCGTACAAAAAGCCCAAGTGGCAACGCTTTACTTTAAGTATAAGATAGTGGGACTTGTACTAGGTGCGAGGCTCGCTTCGAGCTCGTTGTCGATGTCACAGTCAACATTTACCACGAATCTGTATGTTCACAGAGAGAGATGATGTTCCCTTCCATTCAGAGTCCCCTACCTGCAGTAAGTTTTTCCTTGAAACTCCCTTCCGGGAACAATGCTAGTATAAATCTGTCTATCTGGATACTAATAAAATAGACCCCCGCACTGCGCTCAACTAATATCTTGAATCTACTCTGATCCCCCTTTGACCGGAGAACTTGACGTCTCTGTCAGACCGATTGATAGTGCCTTCTAATATCCATCCGGCGTTTCCAAAGTGAAGTCCGGTATCTTTGCCACCCGCTCTCTGACAGCATGATACCACTTCCTTGATTCCATGGCACAACAAACTTGAATATTCTCTAGGCCCCCTATGGACCGAATGTTGAACAAGTTTTCGAGGTTGGACATCATAAGGTTGCTCGGTTTATCGAGCTTCTGAAGGACGACACGAGTGAAGATGTTGAAATTGTCACATTTATGTTGTGGGCGAGATTGAGCAAGGGCGATGGACAGCTGAAGGTATTGTTCACGGAAGAGACTCTGTGCAATGAAAGTTCCCGTGAAAACCTGAGAGAATTCAATGCCTTATGGAGACTCACCCATGCAAAGAAGTAAGATGGGCACACTATAAGGGAATCCTTTACCTCGAATAAAGATGTGTCCATCATTATCGGGGCCAATCGTTCAACAAGAGGTGCTATTCGATGTCTACATGCGAAATGCAAAACTTGTTTCGAATGGCTATGAAGGAACTCCCTAAGGAATAGTACCGTAAGTACGTATATAGTCAGTGTACGTATCATACACCGTAACGTTAACAATAATTCACCTTAAGATCAAATGACAAGCCGAAAGAGCACCGTAAACTTCGTATTTCTCCGCAGCTTCTGCCACCTCCAATAGCTCCTCAAATGCCAATTTATCGAGGGAGGGATGTCTTTGAGGATAGACAAACTGAAATAAGATCTCCAGTGTCGAGGATGACTCTGATAACCGGACTATTTCACCTAGACTCGAAGGGGTATCGGCGGGCGGAAACCCTCCCGTGGCGAATTCCAAGTGTCGTTTGTGAACATGAAAGTCGATGTTATCGCATGATCGGATTATGACATCTGCGTCAGAGGATTGGACTTTTGGTTCGTTTTGCATGGGATGGAGTGGGTGAGGAAGGAAGAAATCGTGTTTTCGTCGAAATTAGATGACGATCAGAGGATAACATGTAATAATACATACACCGTTTACTGATGCTTACAACATGAGTTCTCCCCGATGAATAATCCTCTGAATTATCCATTTCTCAATCTAAACTTTCTATCTATGTAGTCAGATGTAGTCCCGCGGTGCTTATTGATTGTGATTGTGAAGGCAAGAAATCTCAACGAAGAATGGGTAATAGTGGTTGAGCTGTCGTCTAGACCCTGGAAAGAGGGGGCTCGGCCGTCTTGGATGTTGAGAACAAAGGAAATATCGTCATGCATGACCGGTCACATGTGGGAAATTCTCTACCCCGGCTCAGGACTATGTACTATATAATCCACCACGCCCGGGCGTACTATACTCGTGCGTGTGACAAGTCGAAAAGTGTATCTTGCTTGTGTGGCGGTTGTGTCAACGGTGCTCGGCGGTTCTCTCTTTTCTTTTCTGTGGCTCGCAGATGGACAAATGCTCCAACCTTGAGGACAGGTACTTAAGGAGCCCAAAGTGTTTCTCCGAGTCATAGAATACCACAATTGGCCTCCCATCATTATCAAGCAATGACGAAAGAAATCGAGATGCGAAAAATATGATAGCCCTGCTCAGATAGGCTTGGTATATCTCGCTTTGGCCTGCCGTGATGCCACTCTCTTGTTTCTACCTAACCTGCCTACATATTCAGCTTGCAGCAGTATGGGGAATAAAATTTTGTTCCTCGTACACTTCCTTCTATGTACGGAGCCAAAAACTTCATTGGTACTATGATTTTGGTGATATCTCCCGGATCGGTGAAAGTACTTATGTCAACTTTGACCTACCGACGAGAACGGAGAGCTTCACTAGGTAGACATTGACCTCTTACTCGGTCGCAGTGTGGCCCTGGACGCATAGACAATGAATATGAATACGGTATGTTTCTATGAAGAACTCTGAGACCGGAACATCGTATTACATTGTCCTTCCAACGCCAAACTCAATCTGGTAACTCAACTACTAGTATTTCATTCTGGCATTGTTAGTTTTCCGCATTGGAGTTTTCTCTAACACTGGGCATTTCCCGATGTTCCAGGTTCGTGCGTTTTGGGATGAAAGTGCGTAATGATTTTGACTCATGGTAATGTGATTAAGGTATGCGTTAAAAGGGGACTCAACTATAACTTCGCATCCAGTTTTTATCCGCTGCGACAATCACTAGTACTCACGAGCCAAATTGTAGTCATGGTCTTTTTCTTCAAACTCACCATCTCTTTGTTCGCCCTCCAATTCTTCGCAGTTCAAGGTTTTCCAGCAGAGTCTCGCAGTGATGAAATCAATATCTGTGGGTAATATCTTTCTTGTACATCAGCCATGCGAGGATTGAAGTTTTTAATTTCTCAGGCGGGGGCAATGTAAGATTGCTAGAATGGATTTGTCCTTGAAAATTTCTGATATCCTCGTGCGTTTTTCGCTTTAAGGCTTATCCTTGTACGTCTCAAAGCTTGCTATATTTGAATGCGTGATTTTAACCCCTGTCATAACATTCAGGCCCTGTAGGATATATTTGTTGTGGTCCACTCGTCGATATAAATGGCACTGTTTATGGAAGGTCGGCACATACTGAACGACCTTTGGATTTTACTGACTCTAATTGAATTGTATGTAGTTCCTGTGTTCCGGAAAACGGCGCCTGCCCGCTTTAAATTTCTAGCGTCTGAACAGTAGTTTTCGTAGAGCTTTTTCCGTCTCGTTCACAATGTCGTATGTAGGGTGCGATTAAATTCGCTATATACGCTTTTGTTTGTATAAGTCTACTGGCACATAAGAAATAAAATGTTCTGAATCATGATTTCATATTTAAACGCGTTAACATCAGAACAGTCATGCTTCAAGTTAAGGGTGAGATGTACTTACAACGGAACCCAACTCACTGCGCATAATTCGAAATCTATTTCCTTTAACATTGTCCTCGAGCTCATAGGATGTAAACCGAACACTGTCGTTCGGATTTGTGGCTATTGTCAACTTGAAGGGACTGTCAAGCTTCCGCAACTATTACAATTACAACATATAACAACTTGAAGGAAGTCTGTCCAAGTTCCGCATAGCAAGTCCCGCATAGTGAGGGGATATTGAACATATTCCGGAAGGATCAATGAGGCGTCGGGAGTCTGAAGTGCTCATATATTGAGACATGCATACCACATACACTAAAAATGAATTCCTCCAGGAAAGATTCCGAGTCCGGTTGATTGTTTGATTAGTAACACCCAAGAATAACTGATTCTGAACCTGCTTTGAACATCCGCGTTTATGACTAGTCACCGCGATGGGTTATAAAAGGGCCATGAAATAAAGCAATATCTCATTACCCTCGTCAACTGAAAGAAGTTTGAGAACATACCTTTCAACACTCATCTTGCATAATGTTGTTCAAATTTGCTGCTCCCACCATGCTCATCGCTGTCCTCTTGCACACTTTTGTTGGAACAGTGGCAGGTACCCCTCAAGGCCCTATCATTATCTCTTGTAAGTTTTCAATCATTCCAGGACCGAGTAGGAACCACATTACTGATCGTCACCATTCTCTTTAGGCCGAGGCCCCAATGATCACAGCGTAAGTTTTTCCTTCAAGCGAAACGTTTTGTATGTTTATTTGTAGTTGAATGCTGATTTTTACTTCTCTCGTTTCCGAAAATCAATCCAATATCGAACCTTTGACGGTCTTTACATTTAGTGTGAGTTTTTTGCCCCGCGTTGATTTTGAGAGAACCGGCCTTCTATATACTGACTTGACACCAGGTCCTTCCGGCGATCTTTGCTGCCACAACTCAGGAGCTTGGGTGTAAGTATACTGCTCTAGAAAATGATTACAAATTTTACCTAGAACTTGACGCATCTTTTTTTTCTTCTCACTAGTTGCCAGAACGCGGCCCTCGAATGTACCGCTTAAATGCTCCATGTTTCGCGGCCTTTTTTTAGTGTAGGCTCAGAGACATGGGGTTGTGTAGTCGTGTTACAGCGATTGGTAGATAATCATCATCCTTCTGAAATGAGCGTGATCGGTGGTTAACCAAGGAACATTGAATTCCGCAACGCCAAAAGATGGAAAAAGTCTGAAAAAAGCTGACACTGCTCCAATTGGAAAACGCACCAGGGCGTGAACGAACGAACCAATGAGTCTTGTTTACCAACCGGAGAGAATGGGGAATATTAATCTGAACATGAGATAGACGAGGCAGGGACCCTCATAGCACGGTATCGAGGCCTTCAATTAGTTTTGACAGCGCAGTTTCTGTACAAGTTGAGCTATGCCAATTGAACGGAAAACAGAGGAAACCTTGACATTAGATACACGGGTCGTTTTTGGTTTCAGCTTGAACATCCACGGACTGTTGCAATATGAAGACTCGATAATTCTACGTTGGACGGGTTGACGGCTAAGCTGGTGGGCCAAAGTCCAATCTTTGACGGTCGGGTATAAGTTGCAATCACGAAAAATGAAGATTCATCATTGAACCGAACGCGTTAAGTACAGTCTAAAGCGAATGAGGGACCCTAGTAGGGACACCAATTCGATAAAGGTGCGAGTGGGGGCTGGTATCCGAAAGCCGCGGTCAGCTATCACCTAGTTATTTAAGAAGAGAAGAGTCGGCCGAACACTCCCCGAAGCGTGACGCTATTCAAAGCATTGACTTAGGGGGTTCAAGATTCATTGGAGTAGAATATTAAACGATTGAATTGGCCATTATACGGAAAGCATCTAGAAAAGCGTCATCGACATTTGAGTCGTCGAATGAGACATCAAAACACACCAGATGAAAACTCATCACAATAACATTCCCTACATTTATTCCTACCTCCGCTTGATTCCTCAGAAGACTAAGATCTAACGATGACTAGGAAGAAAGTTTCTCAAAAGGGATGAACGGTTCAATAAGGATTTGATCATCGAAGGTAAGGAAGGTGCTCACCAATGCTGCAGAAAGGTCAGGAAGAAACACCCTTCATTGAGAGGATCATTACTGCTGCATCCAGCCTTCAAATTCCCTGTTTTTTGAGACGATATACCACTTGAGCAACAGAAGATCCCTCCAGATATAAAATTATCCTCCTAAACACGTCTAACAGAGTATAGCGATGAACACATAGCTACACATATGTAGTACAAAACTCTGGAATATAGAAAAGGAGATGAGGAAAAAAATCAGGGAGACAGTAAGTAAGTTCATACCGGAACCTCTAGCGACCCTTAAGGAGTTCCGTCACAAGAAGGTTGTACATACTTTGCAGTCTTGTAGCTTTCTTCATGTTTCGAGGCAAAGAAGGACGCGCTACGTGAGAAATAACATGGCACGTGGCCTTCGCGATAACGTCAGGTCCTATAGTCAGTCCCGGTCTACCGCCATCTGTTCAAGACGAACGCGACTCATAAGGTAACAAGTACACCTATCTCAGAAAAATATTCGGCGATTGATACAGCAGAATGATCATTCTCTCCGACACCGGCTACATACTCAACTCACGCTCTCTCGCTAACCTCGCGCAGGAGGCACCTCTTATAGCACGTCGACTCTCTTGAAGTCCGAACTGTCGACTCTATCGGCGTCGGCAAAGATCCTGCTACATAGTCTGCGAAGACTCTGGTCAAGAGGCTTGGATTCTGCCTGCAGTGGACGATTGTGTCGCTAGAATTGGCTACAGTACTCAGAATGGCGAGGTGGCGATCAGGTTGAGAAAGAGGCCTGTTTCTCTATGGCCGGATGTGACAAGTCTGTCATTTCTCGTTGATCCTCAAGCACTGATTCTCCTTGGCAGATCCAGCGTTGATTCTGCCAATATGGTTGGTCTCGACCAAACATATTCCAATTTTTCAGTGCCAGCACATCCTTACTCAAGCTCCCGGCAATAGTCACAACGAAGTTCCTTATAGTCAGCTCTCGCGGTAAACTGCAGTTGTTGAAAATTTAGAAATACAAACATTTTTTTGAATCTACTCCTTATGCCTACCGTGACTGAGAAGCCTCGGCGAGAGCTTGGTGCAGAGCCCAACTCTCTTGCGTGTTCTTGATGTCTGGTAATGCACTGTATTACGCCGCTGCTTAGGCGAAATACTATAATTTGGTTACGTATGCTGGTGCGAAGGCCTTGGGCCTGGGGAAAAGTAAGGAGGTTTTGGCAGGTAAAGTGACCTTCAGTGCATTAATGTTCCCAGTGGAGGTAAGCTGTTTTTCAAGCCATGATCTTCATTGTTACTCAACGATTGTTCGAAAAAAGTTTCAGCTTCCCATCCCCGTCTCTCTGCTCTTCTCAATCATCCTTCTCCTACCTCCGGTCCAGCGACTTCGTTTTCCTCCTCCTCGACTTACACCTACTCACAACCCGGCTTCATCCCGATTCGCACTCCTCCTACACTCTCTCCCGAGCCATTCCAAATCCAGCTTCTCCTATGGTTCAAAAACGCTACCGCGCGCGGATTTCGATTCGTTGACGTTATGCAAGAGCGTGGCGCCGTTGTTAGAAGAGTCGGGTGGGGCTGCTTCTACAGCGCCTAATACAAGTACAAGGGTGAAGATGTGCAGGATAAAAAAACGGAAGTCAAAAAAGGTATTACAAAGGCGACGACCTACGCGTCATATCTTCCTCTCTCCCCATCAAGCTCTCCTTCTCGGTGTTCTCGCGCCATCTCTCAGAGGTCTATTCGTCTATCAAAATTTCTTTCCTTATAGACTCAACGGCGCCGTTGAATGCCCTCAATCTGATGGAGGGAACTACAGGGAATCAATCCAGACCTACATCATGTCCTGCGCTCGTCGCGGAGACCTCAACTAGTATGAAATAACCTTGCAGAGGGGTCTATTGTGTTTATCGATGTGCCATTTTCTATGGCCTCATCGTCTACGGGTACCTCTGGTGATGCACAAGCTAGTTCTAGTGGTGCCTCAGGTACTAGTGGTGTGATTGGATCAGACGGTATCACGATGAATGACGGTCATAAACCTGTCCAACCGAGTGCTACCGCATTTGTCAGGACCAGGCTCAGCAGTGTAGCGGGGTGCCTGTATCAATTGTTGAGGGAATTGCAAGTACGGGGACTTTCCTCTCCATACACTGAAGAATCCCAAGAGGTAATCTTTTTCATCCTTCTACCTATATACTTTGGTAACTTCGACATCGATCGTAGGAATCCGTTCAAATCTCTCAAGAAGAACAGATCCAATCTCTTCGTGCAGAATACCGCAATACTCTTCGCCTCTGTCAAAGTCTCTCACCGCGCATGGGTTACTCAAGCCCGCCGTTAGGAGAAAGGCCGCTTCGAGGATCGTCGAGCTTGTGTCGCACCTGCCATGGTGTGTCGTCGTTTTGTGGTGAGGGTCACTCCCAACTGCTACCACCGAAGTCAATTTCGCGCAATCTTGAAATTTTCGACGCACAAACGCTCAGGGTCTCATCTGGGGCGATTGCTTCTGAGATGAAGATCTCTGGGTTTACTTTTTTGTGTTAGGCTTAGTCGGTCTAGTATTATTGTCTCTGATACTTCGGCGAAATCGTAGAAGCCTTCTTTTCGTCTAATTTGTGCTTTATCTCTCGTCATGATTTTTTTCTCCGCCTTTCCATCTTCTTGACTTCTGTGTCTTTCGTTACGGCCACAACGAACTCTGCGCCTGCTGGTAGTCAATATTGTCGCCTTCTAGGTCTCTCTGCTTGTCATTGTCAGGTCCCTCCAACTTGAATACTGTCCCGTTTTTCTTTCGCTCATGCTCAATTTTATCCTGTCACTTCCCAATCAACGCCGCTGGTGACCCTTATGTTTTAAATCCCCTTCTTCTCATCCTTATGTCCATATCCATTCTATCATTTCCCCTACTCACTCTACCGCCTGCTTCTCTTCACCCCTCTGCTCCATTTGAACACATATCCCTTGTCGACTCCTCTCGCCCTCCGCCTACCTTCTTGCTAAAACCCTTCTTTACTCACATCTTCATTCTACCGTCGCCACGATCTACTTTGATTTAAATATTTTCCTCGGGGGTAAGCACTCAGTACTCTGTGCTAGTCGGGAAAGCAAAGTAAAAGCACACAACACTTTGAGAACGATGGGGCTCCTTTCGGTTTAGAGTAAAGAAAATCAGAGACGCAGTGGATAAACGAGATGAATAGGCAAGCTTTTTCAGATTGTTCTATCGTATTCCCTTCCGGTGAAGCGAGAATCATAGACAACGCTGTGACGCGGCAAATGAGCTTGGCTATTTCCTACGTCTTGCCTCTTTCTACTAGAAATTTTTGGTAGGAGCTATATACCAAATTTGACCGAAAGTCTGCATGAGAATGAAGCGATATATACTTTTCTATATCCCAACTATCTCCTTCCAACATTTTACACGATTCTTCTGATGTTCTGCCTCCACTACCTCTGCCAAAATCACTTTTTCCATTTCATTCTTCATCTGTGCCCACTGTGGAGTTATCCCAGCAAGAACCTTTGTCTTCTGCTCGTGTTTGACCAGATCGAAATACCTACTTTCTTCCTCCATTAGTAACTTGAGCATCGCGTCGACATACATGATCGAAATTTTTATTTGTGACCCGTTAGCTATATCAGGGTGTGCATTCGGAAACTTGAGATCGCGCAGTTTTTGCACGACAACGCGTCTTTGGGCCAGATCCGTGAAATACACAGACATACCCAGTGCGGCGAATAGTCCACGCTGGTATGGTGGACGTTCCACGGGAGGGGGCTGAACAGGAATCACCTCTCCATTCTGCACCGTAACTTCGAAACCTGGGTCACCCGGCATGAAGAGAACCCATTTTTCACTCATCTTGTATGGCGTGATTTTGTGGTTCATCCTATGGGGAATGATCTGGTCCGTCTCAGAGTCTATGCGCGCTATATACAGAGCTGCTCGGGTCTGTGGTGAGATAGTGCTCACTGGTAGAATCGTGTGTCAATGCGTCAGACGATCAATTTTCAGAATGCATACCTTTCGCCACGATGGTTGAAGAATGCAGCGGAACGGCGAGTACGGTGACAATCAAAGTCGCAGAGAAATAAAACCACTGCAAGCACGTAAACGAAGATGCAGCAAGGAAAAACATCACAACGAGCTAAACTTGGGCGAGGTTAGAGACAGAGGGAGAGGAAGGATGCCGGCAGGGACGTACGATTTAGTGGATGCAGAACGACCTTGACAAGGCAAATTCAAGAGGGAATATAGAACAAATGGTGATGGCTGTATCAAGGTCAGTCAGTGACTGAAAGTCAAAGCCTGAGTAGGGTATTCAAACCGGACGGGATAAACAGATATTTGACCAGCAAATCTCCAGCAGGGATCCTGGAGGTACAGAGAGGCGAGGTTTAGTCAAGTCATTGGCCGCGCGCCGAAGACGAGATGTACATACCGTGATCCGATGATAACGAGGAAATTCAAGGCTTGCTCCCGGTTGAAAGACTTGAACTTATAGCCTTGAGGTTTCGTAGTGGGAGTGCGACTTCAGCATACAGACATTCAAACAATTATCGAGATGTTCTTAGGAGCTGACTCTGGTTCGTTTCATTGCTCCAGAGGGGTTGTTCAAACGAATCCGCCGCAGACACAGCTTGCGCAAAATTGCCGCAGAATGAGAGAGAGCGAGTGAAAATCGTTCACCCAAAAGAGAGCCTTCAACTGAGCTCTGGTGCGGTCCATTTTGGATGGCTTGAGGACTTTTGAAGCAAGAATCTGGCACCGAGCTCGTAGTCAGTGAGATAGATCAATAGCCTGAAAGTCTTCGGGCATGTTGTTTAACTGCCAATATCCTACGCGTATCATACGCTGGACTCTCGCTGATCCGAGACGTACATAGGCGAAGGCGCGCGTTGGTAAGATGTAGGGTACAAAGACTTTACTTGAAAAGCAACTTTCAAATTCCCCCGGAATGATACACTACACGGTGAAGATTGCTGAATACCCCTTTGATATAGCAACGTTAAGGCAGAAAATGAGCATGTTCGACTCGTTCGAGAGTTGCGTTCAAGGTTTGAGAGGTTTCGGCATTCTGGGAGAAAAGGGGTTATTCGATGATAGGGGCAAGGTAAACAAATAGCTTTCACGGAAATAGGTCGCCCGTCATGTGGTGAGAATGCTTCATGTCATCTTCGAGTTTTGACTGTCGTGAAGGTTTGAGGATGCCCTCTGATTCGCAATCAACTCTCCACGGATGAGCAGTCCCTAGGTGCTCTATTTAATCGCTATTCACGGGAAAGGTGAAATTCTAGATGAAGAAAGAAGGAGCTACGCTACCGAGAAGGTTTTATAATACGACTCACGACAGTTTTTCTTCTGAAACATAAGGATGATTGACCTCAACTCGTCGGGTTTTGACTCTTGGCTTGGTCGAAGTACCTCATCGCTCTCGGAACGACACAGTATGAATGAAATGCCCTACACCACGTCCGTTCCGGACAAGTTGGTCTGAGTAAGGCTAACAGGTCAATTAAAAAAACGGCCCATTATCAACATCTATTTCTCACCTTCGTCTTATCATGTGTGGGTCAACATCGGTGTTGCGCTTTTGACCTAGTATTTACAATGATTTCGGAATCAAGGTAAGTCCTCATGGTCAGAAGGTTCAAGTCGACAAAATTACTATAGGACATTTCTGGGGAAAAATCAGATGTTTGGTACAGACAGGATTGGTAGAGCAGGGAACAAATCTTCCCGATGTCTTTTCTCCACCACATGCACTTCAGAAATATTCGCTTTGATCTGAGTGGTTTACAGTCATAAGGTTGCCGTTGGCGAACATGGTGATCGGTGCGAAAGTACAGCCTCAAAAACGGCTGAAGAACCGGCGACTCTACTGGTATGGTTTATCCTGTGCACTTCAAGGGAAGGTGAGTAGTGATTAGGGAGGTGAAAAATATAAATACGTACGTTTTTTCACGGGAGGCCAAAACAAGTGCTCTCAATCTCATTTTGGACATGGGGCGACATCCAGCACCGTTTCTAGTCAGATGTGACTGCATTAAGACCCAAAACACCTTCAGCCTCACCGCTGAAACTTAGCCAAAAAATCAGTTCATATTGCTGAAGGACCGGCGTTCATATTTTGAGTATCAACATTGCACATTACGACAAGCAATTTAGCATTCGAACCATCACTCATATTGAAAGCGTGAACGATGTTGGTGAACCCGAGGGCTGTGACTTGTGGCACCAATAACGAGTGTTCGAGGTCAAATTTAGATAATTGCGTGCCTCCAGGAATTTGGGATAAGAAATCATCTATAGCGTAAGTATGACATCTTTTCTCTATATTATTGCGAGGCCTTCATTGCTCATACAGCGGCCTTGTTCGCCTTCGGGTCAGAATCTTGTGCGGGGTCGAGGATAATCTATGTGGATGAATGAATACATGTTCGCGAGAGAGATTAGAGATGTACACACTTGTTCACCGCCCTTCCCATTTTCCCAGACTTGATATCTTAGGGCAGTTATTCCTCTTTTCTCCGCTGCCAAACGCTGAGATTCTTTCAGAGACTTGCGCACTGCGCCAGCAGTGATCTGGCTGTATTTATTAAAGCTGTGAAAAGACAAGATAAGTTTACGGGAGATTGAATGATTGCCAATATTCGTATGGAAGTAATGAACGTACGTGAAAACGCCTCTCCAGGTAGCACTCATGGTCGATGATGATGAAGGGACTGGGTAAAGGAAAAAAACGGGAAGAAACGGCTAACGGGCCGAAAGTCCGGACTATGCGTGACGATGACGCACGATAATTCTTCGAGATTCTGCCGGTTGTTGTTGGCGTTGTCAAGAACAGTGCTCGGTCAAACTCAACTTCATACTTTTACGATAACATGGCTGGAATTAGCTGGCACTATGTCTTCAAATTCATTATCACCGGTGCGTTCTCCTCAAACCCAAAGTCCCATTCCTTGTTTGTTTATCGACTGTTGAATTATAGGCGACGCAGCTGTGGGGAAATCATCACTCCTCATACGATTAACAGACCAAAGATTCCTCGCGAATCCTGATCCGACAGTGCGTTAAGCTTTTGCTCTCTTTATCTCAATCCTACCACTGGCTCATTAGATGATGGCCACCACTCTAGCTAGGAGTCGAATTTGGGTCGAAGCTCATCACGATTCCAGAAGAAAATAAGATCATCAAGCTACAATGTGCGTGGTGCTTTAAATTCTCTTCTCTCTGGGATTTCTTCAAACACGGAAGGCCTTGTTTGCCGGCTTTTCTCGCCGTGGATACTTGGTAGTTCACATTCTAATGTGTATTCATCTCACAGGCTGGGACACTGCAGGTACAGAATCATTTCGATCCATTACACGCTCATACTACCGTGGCGCCGCTGGCTGCCTGCTGGTATACGACGTAACTTCACGCAAGAGTACGCCTTTTCATTATGTGCTATGACCGTGAATTCAACTGGCTCATTACTTCATCTTTTCCATGCAATCTACACGCTACAACACTCGCCAGGCTTCCTCAACGCACGAACATGGCTGGCAGATGTTCGTCAGCATGCAGATCCACATCTTACCTGTATCCTAGTTGGAAACAAAGTCGATCTATGCCAGGACGAGTCGGAATTGGAGTCCAACTCAAATGCAGAACGTACATCCTCGACGCGCGTACATAATCAATCCAACGCCGCCAAACACAAGCGCCAAGTATCCGTAGAAGAAGCCGAGTTATTTGCCAAAGAAGAAGGTCTCCTTTTCGTGGAAAGCAGTGCCAAGTCAGGTTTGAACGTCGAGAGAGCTTTCGAACAGGCTGCGAGGGATATCTTGGACAAGATACATCGAGGGACATTTGATGATGATCAGGTGAAATCATCTTCCCATTCCTCAAACGATCGAACATGCTGACCTTTCGTATGTCGTTCTCTTCCTTGCCGTGGTTCAATTTCCCGCCATTCGGTCTCTTATTAATGCCTTCCCCCGCATGTACACGACTGCACACATTTTACGAAAAAAATCTTCCTGGCCCTCAGTCTCCTGGTGTAAAACTCTCGAAGCCTGCTACAGGGAACACACCAAACAACACCTTATCTCTTGATGGTGTCCGGAGTCGACCTTCATGTTGCAGCTCTTGATCTATAACTGCGTCTCCCATGTTGATCCCGAGTATGTATGGACCGATACATTGGCAAGTTACTTCTCATGAAACGATCTCCGATACTCAACGCTCGTTCATCTTTTCGCATCTCCAGTCCTCCGATATTACTCTGGGTTGGACTGTTTTCTGAGGGATTGGGACAGACAGACATGAATGACCCTGTCGGTTCGTCTCCCCGCTTCTGTATGTGTCGTCTTCATCGTCACAATCACTTAAGCGTAAGTGAGGTTTCGTGGATATTCATTCACTCATTAGTATTTCTCGATGTTGTAGTATATGTAGAGTATATGTAGCAATTGTATGGTGACGTACAACACCAAATTTTTGTGTCAGTATTCCAGATGTACTTCAAATACAGCGACATAGGCTATAGCTTCGTCGAAAGGACGTAGAATATAAAATCGACCGGTAATTCTAAACCGGATCAAATATGGTACTTCTCATCGGACCAGCGCTCATAAAACAGCGCTTCGAACTGGGTAAATTCATTCGACAGCGACAGCAACAAATTTACATCTGGAATTGATGCGCGTTGGCTATGCTGAGAAGTTGCTCTGGGTTATTGTAAACGTCGTGAAGCCCCGCGAAAATCGAGCACTGGTTTGGTACCTGCTTATATCCTATCTGCAGTGGACAACTTTCCAATCTTCCGGGGTCGACCCTACCACACTTGAAGAAGGATCTACTTAATGCTCCAGCGTCACCTGTCCGTCACATAAATCCGCCGTTCGACTGAGGCCCTGCTCAGTGCCCAGTGTTGGCTATATATTATTCAAATTCATAGTTGCATCTATCAGCCTGTCTCTGTAGACAATATACATGTCTGCTTGGTCTGACATATCAAATGTCGAAGCCCCACTCCTTGAAACTTGGAAAATATATGCGGCGGCGCGAGGTTGCGAGCATCCCCGTACCATGTATCATTTTATGCTTCAAGCTATTGTCTCGACTTTGGCACCATGGAATTGAGACACGGCGGGGTTGGGCGGGCGTCGCCTTTTCCAGCGCGTTGGCGATGGCATCTGGGTGATTGAAGTTCTTGTTTCCTTACGCAGTCTCGCCGGGTGTTGGTTTGTGCGCTTTTCGGGAGGCGGGAACTTCCTAATATTCCGCGTACCCGCCTAACTTTGCATGATAGATCCGTTAGGAATGCTTCGATATTGGGCTAGGTTGGAGCCCAGGAAGGAATTTGAAGGAAGGGGAAATTTACACGGCTGATCCCTAGATAGAAACGCCGGTTCCGGTGTTTACACGATGCAGCATTGGTCGCTGTCCCCAGGCGACCCTAGAAAAGCCGAGTGTATGGTTCACAAGCTTTCACAAGTCAGCGACCATACTAGAGCTTTTGAAGGAAGTCACCGGCAACTTCTACTCAAACTAGGTACAATTCTATCTTGTATAAGTATATGCAGTTTATCCAGATAAATTAGTCGAAATCGCGTTTCATCGTTCGTCGTGTGGGCGGCAGGGCTGCCGGTGCTGGCAGTTTGGTGCAGTAGTACATCACCCGTTTAAATTACATACACTGGCACCCGCCGTATTTCCCCCAAATGACAAGAGCCTGGGGAAACCATGCAACGGTAAGTACTTACAGAACTGTCATTGAATGCCAGACGAAACGTGAAATTGAATCATACAGTAAGCTCGTATAGAATATCGAGGGAGTGGTAGAAGTACATGTAAACGTATGAACAATGAATGTGATATGGATATGCATGTTACTATGTACACTGCGTAAGCGGATGGAAAGATAGAATAAAGAGAAACACATATGCAATGGAAAGATGGATTTGGCTCGGACGTACATTGAACTATATGGAATATAGGATAATGATAAGGAAAAATTATGAAGTTAGATGAACAATAAACGAACGTCGAAGAAGAGAGAAATACGTTCATACAAAGGTCAGAGAGTAGAGAGACAGGAATTTGTCGGACCCATAGCGTCATCAAACAACGTGTAATATTTGTACGACAAGATTTAAAAATTTGAGTGGGAGTTGGAATTGTTTGGTGCCCATGCTTTCGAAGAACAAGTGGACCGACCAGCCGCATGGACCGTCGCTTATCCTTGCTGAGCATGCGTCTCAGCACGAATAGCTGAAGGTCGTACGACTGGACGAATATTTATGCGGTGTCTTTCCACCGCCGATAGGACCATCCGTGAGGCCTTTTTGCTCCGTTTCGTTCGTCTCCAACCTACATCCCTTCGATAAGCCCTCTTTTACCTAGTGCTTCCCGTCCATACTCATAGAGCTGCTTTACAAATCCAAAATTCGGATTGGCAATTTTTCTCTTCTCCTTGACATACCCCACGGCTTCCATCGGAGTCCAACCGTATTGAGCCATTAAGAAGGCCGCAACCACACTCACGCTTCTACTGATGCCTTCCACACAATGCACTAGCACTCTCGACTCGGGATTGGCTTTAAACGCAGCTTGAATGAAACCAGTTGTAGTAGGTAGATGTGCAGCGAGTTCTGCAAACGGGAAGTCCTCGACGTCGCGTATTTGCAGACGAACGGGCGTGTACCCGAGGATCAGTCGTAGTTCAGCGTCCGGGGGGAGAGATAGGGATTCGGGGAGAATGGATAGTATGTGCGTTATGTGGTAGGTACGGAGCAGTGCCGGGTTTTCGGCAAAGGATAGGTCAGAGATGTATAGTCGGGGTATAATCTCAGAAGCCAGGTTCCGAGAGGTGGGTGAAGGCGAGATGTTTGGCGTCCCTGGTCGATAAGGGCGTTGAGAAAGAGGAGGGTTTTTGAAATGTGATGCAGAGGATTGGGAGTAATGAGAGGAAGATCGTGTTACCGTCGACAAGGGGGTCAGTAGAGAAGACGCTGACGATGAGCCGCCACTCGGACTGTTTGTCACCGTCTGCGGCCACAATCCATTATGATATGACATAGTAGGGATGGTATACGGTGGAAAACCAGAGGGCTGTAACAATCGAGAATGTCGATAAGTCCTTTTTATGTAGGCCCATGATAAACGCAACAAGAGTGGCAGAAAGATGAAGGATGACAAAAGACACGTCTGGACCCGGCGAAGAAGGGGAAAAAGTATCGAAAGAGGCAGAAATAATGGGGAACTAACCATAGTTGCGACTTTGGCGCAGGACATCCGTACGAAGTTGGCGTCCGTATGGGCTTTTCAGTGTCCTTTTTGACTGACAGACAGGACGAACCAGGGGAAACTTTGAATATGAGCCCCGATTTAGCTTTGTTTGCAGCAGCAAAGTAGATTTGGGTAGTGTGGCAATCAAAAGCGGAAGAGCCGTGCCCCTTTTATTGACACCCGCAGCGAGCGAAAAAATCATCTACCATCAGTCGAACACAAACCAGTTCATAATCATGCACGAAAAGTAATTCATGGACAGCCCGACCCGATCTGAACACTGCCTTACTTACCGACTCGAAGCTGTGCTCGCGAATTAAAGTGGAGCGAGTTCATCTGGACAGCCCCACAATCATACATCTGCAAGCAATTCATGTTTCGTTCGATTGCTTCGTTGAGGAGAAAGCGAGGCCGACGCTTCGAGAACACTCTATCAGGTCTCATCGCACCCTCACACGCTTTATTAAAACGGATGTACATTGTACATTCTTCGGTAAGCAGCTTCCTAAAACTACAACATCTAGTAAGTATATGGAAGGTGTTGAAGTAGACCGACATAATGAAAATAATTGCGACATAGTCAAGCAAAGGAAACATCGGGCCCTTTTTTTGAGTTGTGTATACCCGAGAGCTCAAAGAGCACCAGCGACTGGCCGAACGAGAAAGATACATATACCAGGAAGGGCAAAAGGGAGGACATATATGGAGGTAACATAGAATGAGATGTCATTACCAGCTTGAGCAAAGCGTACTCAAATGAGATCGCTGTCCAGGTCAAAAAATGGTCATCAGCTCGAGGCACCGAAGACTAAAACATCAAGATGGCCACTCACGCAACATTGAGAGGCATTTCGTCAATCTGGGTGTTGTAAAACTCTATTGCAGTATAATGGATCAGAGGCCATATGAGAGTAGGGGAAGAGCCCAGGACTCACGTTCAATATCGCGCAACATCCTCACATCATCAGTGGTGACAAAGTTGATGGCAACACCTTTTCGTCCGAATCGACCGCCACGGCCGATACGATGAATGTAGTTTTCACGATTGGTGGGCAAATCGTAGTTGATAACCAAAGACACTTGCTGTACATCGATACCACGAGCGAGAAGGTCAGTGGTAATCAACACACGAGAGGAACCAGATCGGAATTCCTTCATCAGGACCTCCCGCTGCTTCTGTTCCATGTCTCCATGCTGTACGATTATGGAAGAAATTAGCCACCATCATGAACCAGAGGCTTGGAGAAATTTTCCTACCATGGCAGATACTGTAAACTCGCGGGAATGCATTTTCTCCGTAAGCCAGTCAACCTTCCGTCTGGTGTTACAGAAAATAACGGCTTGAGTGATCGTAACGGTCTCGTACAGATCACAAAGTGTGTCGAGCTTCCACTCTTCCTTTTCCACAGCGATGTAAAATTGCTTGATACCTTCGAGAGTCAACTCATCCCTCTTGACGAGAATACGGACGGGGTCACGCATAAACTTCTTAGTGACCTCGAGTACGTCCGCAGGCATGGTAGCAGAAAGCAGCACCACCTGGGTATCCTGAGGCAGCAGCTGGAACACTAAGCACAGAAGTTAGCCTACATTCGAAACAACCGCCGAACGGTCAGAAGTCGATTACAACCAAGGAACTGTAGAGGGTAGAAAAGAAAAAATAGCTACGTGCCTTCATAAATCTGGTCCTTGAAACCACGAGACAACATCTCGTCAGCTTCATCGAGACAGAAAATCTTGATAGTGTCAGTTTTGAGGGCACGCCGGTTGATCATATCGAAAACACGACCAGGTGTACCGACGACAACCTGAACACCCTCCTGGAGTTTCGCCATGTCTTCACGAACATTGGTGCCTCCGACGCAAGCGTGACACTCAATGTTCATGTAGTCGCCAAGAGCGACAACGACTTTTTGAATTTGTTGAGCCAGCTCACGAGTGGGTGCAAGAATAAGAGCTTGGGTTCCCTTAACGGTCATATCCAACTGTAAAAACCGTAGATTAAGGATGGAGAGATGAATGTGGATACAGAATGCGCACCTGCTGAAGAATGGAAATAGAGAACGTGGCGGTCTTGCCAGTACCGGACTGGGCCTGCGCAATAACGTCATGGCCTTTGACGACAGGTACGATAGCTCGCTGTTGGATAGCAGATGGACGCTCGAAACTGCGAATATGATGTTAATCAGAAATTTTCTTTTCGTCGGTCATAAGTCTTACCCATAAGCATAAATGCCACGGAGTAATTCGGGCTTAAGATCCATGTTGTCGAAGCTGGAAGGCTATGTTAGCGGTTGAGATAAGGAAGAGGATAATGTAAAATTCACTTGTCTACGACCTGGTCCCAGTTAGACTCAATCTCATTCTCGGCAACATCCTGGAGTTCTTCACTGTAAGAGGCGACGTTAGCGAAGAAAAATGATATCGATCCACAGAAAGAGAACAGAAGTCATGGATAGATTGAGAAAGAGAAGAAATAAATCAGCGATAAAAATTTTCTCTATTTGCCCCATAGAGACTTACGCGGACATGAATTAGTTGTAGTAGCTTTATTCCCAAGTGTCGACGTTATAAGTCGACAGATCTCGGAAATTAAGGAGAAAACGAAGAGTTGGACTGTACGTGCAGTAGGTGGTTCTGTCAAGAGACGAAATGATCAGGAAAATGATCAAAGTTTTTCGGAAACCAATGCCGATACTTTGATACTCCGCAATCGGCACTTCCGGCAATTACATTCTCTTCCCTCTACGACAGCACCTTCTCTGGGTTTACTTGTCGACTTATTCAAGGTGTAGGAACCTCCTGATGCCCGTTTTGCCGCATATTTGACATCGCTGCCAGTGTTGGCATTGCCTCAGCCCGCGTCCGATATCGAGACGGATGGGATCTGACATAGTGCAGCCCTTCATGCGTCGGGTTTTTAGACGCAACCGGAATGAACTATCTGGAACTCAGCGTGATTTCCTCAGTCAGCGATGCAAGTCGAACTGTCGAAGCTTCCAAATGCAAATCTGGCATCAAACTACAGGAGTTATATACTGCAGTCTTCGGGTCTCTGGCTCCAAGAAACCCTATGCAACTCTGCCCTACCTTCCTGGTGACACTCATTTGATACTGACCATTTATCTGTCGCGCTAATGAAAGATTACATCGGCTTACATACTGCAAGTACTAACTGGCAAGTTCCGATGGTCATACTTCCTCATACTGCTGAGAACTGAGATTACGATGATTACTTCTCTATTGAATGTTCTCTCTCCCTTGTTGATGTTTCGGAGAAGAGCCACTGCGAGTACGACCACTAAAGTCAACTTGAGATGTGCAACGGTACAATTCAGGATATTTCGCCATTGAGCAATCATTCAGTACCATGTAGACCTTCAACCTGCTCCTAAATTTATCGGTACTTGAAGGGTGGAATGTCAAAAGCAAGCATATTCACCTACGTCAACCGCCCGTTCGGATAAACTCAAACTCGAAGATATCTCAAACAACAGATTTTGCAACCTTTAGCCCAGCTTTAGCCTTACGAAGAGTCCACGAGTGGCTACATGAACTCTCCTACATTGCATGGCTATATTCCGTTCTCGGAGCTAAGCACTGCAACCATTAATTTCACAGGTCCGCAAATATTGCTGCCATGTACTGTATGCTAAAAATTAATGATACATTGGCCTCTATTAGTATTATTGCAGTTGAGATATGGGATGTTGTACCATCTCAACATGAGGAGTCGGAAGTGGCAGGTTCTTGTTCTCAATCGACCAGCTCTCACTGCGAGTCTCAGTCCTTCGATATTCCTGGAAATGAGCAGCAAGAATTTATTAGATAGGCGAGCTCTTGTCGCTAGGAATTATCGCAAGGAAAACACCTCTCCAAGCCTCTCCACAGGCCAGGATAGATATTGGCAGAGATTTCCTGCGGTGATTCCCTACCTTTCTTCGTGTTGAACCCATTCTTAAATGGAACGCTTCACCTATCAAGCCCCTCCACAGGACAGATGCGCAACGGTCCTTTTTTGTATTATTCCACGTGTCCATTCTTTGTATGTTTATCCATTCCGCTTGGGTGCTCATGTTACTTTCTTGGGTTCTTCTCTGACTTCGAGCACCCAGTTTCTCAAATTCGCCCACTTAGATCTTGAGAGTGCTTTGAGGGATGATATCAGGGCGAGAGTAGAGGTTGAGATCTGGGCTGTAGCTCTTGATGAGAGGATAGAGTTTGAAGACGAAGAAGAAAAGATCATTGTTCCTCCCTCCATTTCCTTATCGTCTATCACTTCCCTCGATGCCGCCTCTATCACTTCCAACACTCCCATTGACACTCCTCATAAGCCGCCATCGACTACTCTATGAGAATTGTCGAACCAGACGAAGGTCACAGCAGCACGTAGAAAAGGCATTACTGCTGCTCAGCAAAGACAGGCTAATGGCAAGCATAATGCCATTCAGGTTGCGCAGGACCTATTGAACTCAAGTCGCTCAATACAGCTTCACTTCCTACCTCCTTGTGGACTGCTTATTCTCGGACTGAAATCACTCCGGCTACAGCGACCTTGACGTAACCTCGGCGCGTTAATCGAGTCAAATTTGAAACTGTTGGACTGGGACGGGGTGTGAATAGAGGCCCGGTTTTTCAACGTTTCGCAATATAACATGATGACCTATTTCTGCAGTTCTCGTGCCATCTACTTGATGCGTCTGGTCAGGTATAGGCTGCGTTCCTCCAGGTTCTTCTGGTGAGGGATGGAGAGAGGTTGTGGATGACCGCCGACTTCCGGGACAGTAGCACATTCGCAGCCGCACAGCAACATGGACGTGGAGTAGATTTCGCTTTCAGCACTTTCTGATTTGGGTCGCTGTTTGCCTAGGCAATCAGAGAAGCCAAAGCCCAATACGCAACGCCGAGGACGAGGACGAGAAGCCGGTTAACTTGAAAGGCAGGGGTGCAAGCCATGAGTTTTCCAGCCCCAGCAATAGATTCTGTCTTCTGGAACTCGGTGACGATGGTCAGGAGGCCATTGATAATGAAAATATTTCGAAGATTCCGCGGGTGATTTGCATACAGCAGGTGTTCAATTTCCGTACCTCGAGATCCACCGCCCCAGGTTGTGGAAATAAGGTAGCAAAGTCCACGAACGACATCGTAAAGCTCACTAAACGATTTGAGTATGGCACCTAAGGATGGCATTGAGTAGCAGAATAGCAGCTTTGGATCCTCAGTAAGGTGTTAGGGAACCCCTAAGGTCTGGAGATAATAAGCCAAACGGCATCGTGGATGGCATTCCCAAGATCTGAATCTGGCGTAGATTTGATTCCTTCGATTCTGAGGTTCTCAGATAGTACTTTAAGATGAACAATAACTTCAGGGTGAAGTGGAATGGGGAAACCATTGACGGGGGTTTCAATGTGGACGATGAGGAGCGCAATGAACTGGGAGGTCCTGTCCGAGTCTTCGATGACCGTACTTATATCTTGAGGATGACGAAAGGGCTGATACTTGAGGTTGCTGATATTATATGTGAACAGTAGATTGAATAAGATGGTAAGACTCACCTAGTACTACTCGACAAGATGTATCTCCTGGTAAGAACTGGCAGCGTGGAAAGTCTCTCTGTCACCTCCTTGTAGTAATCCCTCGCAACGAGTTTGAGCCATTTAGAAAGAAACATAAGCGTCGCTCTTCAAAGTAGAGACGGTGGCTATAAGCGAGGCCAAGTTAACGCCATCGACCAACTCGTCCCAACGAGACTAAACGGCGTTTTTCTTTCGCTCGTTTGACGCAATCGTGAATACCTGGTTATGTTCGAGCAAGTTGCAGGAATTGGCAGCTTTCTCGATGAGATGCAGAGATTTAGAGGTGTATTCGGTAGTTGGAATGACTTCGACGAACTGCATGTCCTTGCTGCTGCCAGATAACGGATGACAAGAGACCGGGATCGAACGATGATCGACGATAGAAACTTGAGGATGGTCGTTGAGTTGATCTTCGTAGTGATCTGGATTTTCCCTCTGATGACCCAAAAACTTTCCCGACGCAGCCAGAGATTGCGCATTTCATCAAGAGGTGAGGGAGATTCAGATCGGGGGTACTTATGTTGCCACGCGAAAGGCCCTGACCAAGCCCAAGCCGAGCTGCACGGCATCCTATGACGGTTCGAGAGGCCATAAAACTTGTTCGAAATCTTCGAATACCTGTGTTTGTGTCACTTATTGATGATATCCAACTACTTAGGTACAGTCTGGAAGGTATATGTGAGCTTGAAGGGCGTTTGAGACAGTTCTACAAATAGACCCTGCCTGGACTCTCTATTCATTGGGGGGGGGGGGGGTCGTGAGAATCGTGTGCCCGATCTGAATCTCCCTCACCTCTTGCATTTCATCCCTTGAACAATTTGAATACACGAATACCCAGTTGATTTCACGGAAAACTCCGCTGCCAGCCCCCTGGGGGGATATAGATGGTGTATAATAGAGCCGGTGACCGATGCCACGTAGGGGTTCTAAGGTTCGGAGTGCATCATTCAACGGTTTTTGCTATCAAGCGACCATACCCGAGAATTTGAGTAAAGCAAGGTCCTGTGCAAAACAACCCTCACTCATCTATAATAATGACAGAGAGCATCAGTCACTGCCAAAAGTGAATGAAATACAGAAACTCACTCTAAGAGGTCAATGTACTTGTTCCGCAGCTTTTACAGCGAAGAGGTTGGATGACGATACATAGGCGCAATATCATGTTGATTTAATCCTTAGGGGGTTAGGGGTGGGTGGTCGAAACGTCGAGCGAGCGAAGCGAGCGTTGACGTTGAAGACTGACGTAAGAGGCTCTGGTGCTGTAAGATGGTAAAGGAGGCGAGACAAGCCAACGGGTACCGATAACCTATCAGTACCAACCCGTTTCGCCTTTTATATGGCTCATCAGGGCTTGTTCACATGGTCACGATAGATACAGACGATGGTCCACAGCATTGGTGTGGGATCGTAGTGCCTTATCTTGTGATTATACGTTAGTAAACAGAATATTCCGATTTGCTGTTACCTGACAGCATGGGAAGTATTTGTTACCTGGGTCCTCGGGCATCAGTCAGCGGCAAGCCCGAGAACCGATCGCATCGGTTTATGTCATTGCTAATTAGTCACCGGACCGAAGGCGAACCGCACAGCGGCCCGGTGATGAACTGTACAGCACTTCCTTGGAGTGCCCAGGGTCACGTGAGACGCGGCCCGTCGGTACCGACCGAGCGCCTAACTATATTACACCCGGAAAGGGCATGCCCTAACTATATTACACCCGGAAAGGGCATGCCCTTTCCCTTAGCGTTTTGGGCCTTTCATGCCCTTTTTCTCATGGAAAGGCAAACCAGCCGGAAACCCAGTCTTCCTAAATCACTCCAAAACCTCTGTTTATGTCTCGTTTTCACTGGTTTGGTCAATATTGATATCATTTTGAGCTCCCATCCATAGCAAAAACCTCTTTTCACACCTTTGGATCTATGGAAAGGCAGTCCTGGTGGAAAGGCAGGTCATGTTCTAAATTCTCATTTACCTCCCTTTCCGGCTGTATATTGCCTTGAAAGCCCTCATTCTCCATTTTGATATGCATTGTAACTCAATTTCATATCCAATCCTCCTTATTTTGTTAATTTAAGTCAATTTTG